TGAAGTGTTACTATGCGCCTAATGGTTACGGAGAAAATTCCAAAAAAATTTAAATTTTAAATTCCCATGTTATTCTTATGGAGAACAAGTAAACTGTTGTAGTTTGCTTGTTTATGAACATATTTTGATCAAATTTGGAAAATATTTTTATTTCTTACTAACTATTAACATTTTACAAAAAAAAAAACAGTTTTACCCTCCCTGATGCAGCAAACCTAAGTACCTGTTAAACTAATTCTATTTAAATAGGAAATAAATGTTAAATTTTTAAGTAGACATTTTAGTGTTAATCCAATCAGGCAAATGGAAATTCGCTTTGTCTGCAGGTTTGCTGCGGCGGGGGTATTTGATGTTATGGTTGCAGCCGTTTTTCCGGCAGTGTAACAAAATAGTATTTCATCATAACAAAAATGGAAAGTGGGAGTTGGTTTTTAACATGTGGTTTTGAACTTGCAAAAAAACTTTCTCTTGAAACATATTTTTTAATACACTATTGATTTGAAAACTCATTGGAATACCAACTTTTTCCCAGATAAGACACATTTTGCAAACATCTATTATTAAGTGAACGAAGAATATGTTAAGTTGTTGATTGGAAAATTGTTAAATGTAAACAATGTTCCTTTCCACTGTGAGGTATTCAGGTATTTGTATGAAAATGTGATGTCTCGTAGGTGATTAAAACATCTGAACTCAAAGGAGAGTAATGGAAATTGTTTTGTCATACTGAAGGGACAGAAGCTGTTCACGTCAACTTCACCTTGTAATTAAAATTGTCATTGTATCGAAAAGAGATTCTAAAGGCCATATGAAATATAATATAATATATTAACAGAATATAGTTGTGTCCAACTCCAAAGCTGAGTTAGCAGTAGGCTGGGAATATCACTGAGCCACGCTTTCAACATCGTAAACTCTGGTTTTCACCCTACTAAATGTCTCCGCCATCCCCTACGTCACGACAAACACAGAAAAGCTCTAGGTTTTAGCAACAGGCAGTCGACTTTTATCATTAAATACTCTTGAAAAATGTTCAAATGTGTAAGTGCCCAACATCAGAAAATGGTACGCTTCTTGAGAAATGTGACTTTTAATATTTGTTTCACAATTTAATTCAAGTATCATTTATTTAGTTAACGTTTTATTTGATTGTTTCGTTGGAGGGTTTTGCGACAGCGAAAGCTAATTTAACATAGAGAAGCAAACTAGTCAGTTCGTATTTGCGAACTTGGGTCCCCGGTTCAAATCCCGCCAATCGCCGACGAAATGATTAACAATGCTATAACTCTATAGGATAAGCACAAAGTAATGTGTATAACGATCCCGAGATAAAGTCCTAAGATTTTAAAGGAAGGCTGCAAAAATTTGTTTAACACTTTAAAAATCGGCATCCTGGTTAGAATTTTAACATTTTTGCAAGAAATAATACTTAAAAAAAAAGATGACGTCGCCTGATTCTTATTGGTCCTGGTACTACTTTCCCACAGCATTTCTGCCATAATGTACCTTAAAAACTACTTTTTTGCAGCTACATTTACAAATAAAATTTTTACTTTGACAACTAAACTAATTTTGACATAAAATATTCAACGTTTATATTTTCAAGGTTATGGCCATAAAATTACTTATACCTGATGCCTAAAAAGTATAACCCGGGAAAAAGAATAATTATTCAGTTATAAGAGCAAGAACTACTAGTTATTAATGTTTGGATATAAAAAAAATTAAATTTAATATTCAATCTGGTATATTAAATATTCAAATTTTTGTTAAGGGTAGTAAAATAATTCCAACTTATCTGTTTTAACTAGCATAATTATTCACCCTAATGCACACTCCAATTTAATTGCTAACCAGCAATGAAAATATCCATTTTATAGATGGGAACTAAATACCGTTTATTGTCTGGTCTCTCCAACAGCAGAGACTGAAATACCATTAACGGGTGCTCAGTAAAATTTAAATTAAATGGGCTAATTTATTTATTCTTATAGAGACGGAAATCTCCTCATTTATGTTTAAAAAACTATTGTAATTACTGGCCATCAATTGTAGCGTTTTGGCATAATTTTTTAAAAAGCTCCTGGTAATTTAACTGTTAATTAATTTTTATTATTAATCAGGGAACCTGATGCTCGGTACAGGGTTTCCACTGTCTAGGCCTACACACTTTATCCTATTAGCTTATTGTTCTATTCCAATGCCCAATGCCTAATATTATCTATTTGGAGTCAAGCAATGAACCAGCTCCAATAAAATCTTTACAAACTGGGAAATTAAACAAGTTTATCTGATAGGTTACAAAAAAGTCGTTCCACCTTCTCCTTCATTTTTAGTGGGCTACTTCGGTATTTTTTTAATAAAGATTGTATCATATTGTGGCAATTTTGTGTTTTGAATTTTTCTCTATTATTTTTTATTTTGCATTTGTTTGGTGTTTCTCATGAATTGATTAATATGGGGTAAAATTCATGAGTGGTGTCTAGTTGGTGTTGATTTTATTGTTGAGCTGGAAGACGGTTAATTTTATGTTTTTGGAAACGGAAACGGAAAGTTAAACAAAATGAAAAAAAAAAACTAGTACAGACAGCAATAATAACAACCAGACAGACATCGCTGCAACAAGATACTATCAACTATATGGACAATTCAACCGAAAATATCAGAAGTTTTAAAAAAAGCCTGAAACACACCTGTCCATAATGAAATAAAAACTAACCCATTCCAAATTACAAAATTAATGACACAAAAGACAGGCTGTTTGAAATAGGAGAGGTGTACAAAATCTCCTGTTAACCCCCATGTAACAACCAATACATTGGCTACACCAACAGAATATTTTTTCAACGATTTAGAGAACATAATACAAACCATCATAACAACACCACACCAACGGTAGTCAAACATCTGAATGAAAATCCAACCCAAACTATAAGTTTACCTGATTTCCTCACGATTCCAAAACCCAAAACCATCAGCAAAAGTACAATAAAGCTACCATAAATTTAAATTAGTAACTACAAATGGATCAAACGCCCTCCTCAAGAAAAAAAAAGACTACACCAACTCTAAAATTTATAAATTAATTTATGGCATTGTAACTGACAAAACTGGAAACACAAAAACAAACGGTCAAAACTGCAGAAATTAAGGCACCCACCCATCTATAAACCAGTTAAGTTCAAACTACCTTCAATCGTTTAACGCTTTAAACACCAACACCTCCGGTTCAAGAAATGAAACTGAAGACGAAAGCCAGTGCTCTGCCATGTGTCCGAATGTGTGTAAATATTTTTTGTAAATATACAAGGTGTATTAAAAAAGTATCAGACGCAAAAAGCACAATTTTTCAATTTCAGTCAATTAAAACTACAACGTTTCTGTTACCGCCGGAGACAGTGTGGTCTACACGATTGCGAGAAACAAGGATGATGTATACACAACCGCGGGAGGTGTTCACTATTTTCTTTACGGTTGTGAAAATGATGATGTTTCTGTGACCCATGGCGATGATCAGAGTTTTACCCCCTTGGAAGACGCTGATGCCAACACGACTGCTGGAGATTATCACGGTATTCCCTCAATCTGGGTTCAATCAAAAATCTAAGTCCAGCATACCTCTAGTCACAAAATTTTCATTTTGATATTTGTTTTTAAGATCTTCATTTACCTTTGATATGATATTTATTTAATATGTTTTGAGGGGTTGAAATTTGAATTAGCTAGTTATACTTCCCCATTGCTACTTTGATTTTTTTTCAATTAGACCTCACACCTCAAAAATAGCTTCGTGTAAGGACGTCAAGACAGGGGGTTGATGTAGTATAACTGAGTAAAACTTGGTAAAATTGTTTAAAAATATTGAGAATTTATAAATTTTGTTATCGCTACATCTCTAATAATTATTACAGAATTTATTTACAGAGGTAGCATTGAATAATTAATATCCCCTATATTTCAAAATGCATTTATTAATTTTAGTAATAGGAACAATAATATATGGCTTTAACAATAAGTCTATGACACACAGCCATAATAACACATTAAAAATAGAATAGTAGTATATTGTACTAAAACTACTGGTTAGAAGTTTTTTTCTCAAAAATTTAGCCTTTTGCAGAATTTTTTTATTACAACTTGACAAATACTGTTCACATACAGGGTGTTTTTTTAAAAACTTGCATCTTTATTTATGTAAAAACCGCAATAGATAGAAATATGCAGTTTGCGGGAATCATCTATTGACGTAGGGGGACCAATTGTTTTGAATTCAACGTTACATTCACATTACACCCCTTTCCCCCCCTGCCCCCAACTTAATTTTTTTAAATAGCACGGTACCCCTTGTGACATATCAAATAAAAGAGCATGAAAAAAGAAAATGTTTGATGAATAAAAATTGAAAATCGGTTAATAAATTTGTGAGATATTCCCCCCCTCACCCCCCCGGAACTTAATTTTTTTTTAATAGCAAAGTACCCCTTGTGACATATCAAATGAAAGAGCATGAAAAAAGAAAAATTTTGGCGAAATTTATTTTTCATTTGATATGTCACAAGGGCGGGTACCTTGCTATTAAAAAACAAGTTATGGGTAGGGGAAAAGGGGGGTGATTATCTCACAAATTCATGAGCCGATTTTAAATTTTTTTTCACCAAAGATTTTCTTTTTTCATGCTCTTTCATTTGATATGTCACAAGGGGTACTTTGCTATTAAAAAAAATTAAGTTCCGGGGGGGTGAGGGGGGGAATATCTCACAAATTTATGAACCGATTTTCAATTTTTTTTCATCAAACATTTTCTTTTTTTATGCTCTTTTATTTGATATGTCACAAGGGGTACCTTGCTATTTTAAAAAAATAAGTTGGGGGCAGGGGGGGAAAGGGGGGGAATGTGGATGTAACGTTGAATTCAAAACAATTGGTCCCCCTACGTTAATAGATGATTCCCGCAAACTGCATATTTCTATCTATTGCGGTTTTTACATAAATAAAGATGCAAGTTTTTAAAAAAACACCCTGTATATAAAATAAACCATATTAAACTAAGAAGCGAAGGTTAATGTCAGTAATTTCTAGTTACAGAGTTAATGACAGCTCATCATGTAATATAATGTTTCTATCAAAACATATCATCTAATAGACTTGAAATGATGGCACTTGAGAAAAACACACAAAAGGTCTAATGTATCTTCGAGGGAAGCCATTATTTGACTCAACAAACATTTCACAGTTCTTCTTTTAAGAAGGAATGTTATTTTGTTGCTAATTAAATTGAACTGAGCAATAGTAGCATTTTACATGCCAATTTGCCAAACAACAAAAACTGTTATTAATTTATTCTAAAGCCACTTTCAATAATTTGCCATTGTTCAAACTATGACGTTTTACTTCCAAACTCCAATTTATTCATAACAATGACATTAAGAATATATTATTCAAAACACTGTGAAAGTAAAATAAACCATAAGCACTATAAGTATGTTGGTATTAAGACTAGACATAATAGATAGATATAAAAACAGCACCTTATGCAGATATCATAATGATAAAAACTAACTAACAAAAAATAAAGAAAACAAAATATTCTTCTCTCCGTAAAACACTTTGAAAATGTAACTTTATTTGGTGTAACTTTATGTAACCTATTGCCTTTTAAATACATAAAAGTATCCACACTAAGGATGTCTAAATTTCAGGAAGTCATATTTCAGGTCCTGTTTTCCCCGTTTATTCTATGTTATTTTTAAAGGCACTCAAATCAGTCTCATGGTTAAGTTTTATTGGTTATTTTTTTCTCCCTGAAACAAAAACTCATCATTAGAAAAATTAGACACAATCATCAACATCAACAATATTTATTAAGTAAATTTAAGACTTACTTTATGTCATTATGGACCTACTGGTTTTTGTGGTAATATGGGTCAGTTTAGTATCCTAACGATATAACTCACCTTAAGCTGTATGTTCACTTATCTGGCAAAAAGGATTGATTTTTCAGGATAAAAACCTTCTCCGTATTACAGAACTCGCTCCACTTAACACCATCTAAAACTAAACTTGGCAAATTAGAAGTTAAAGTAGGGTCAAGCAGAAAGACTAAGTTTAGGTCAGCTTCTAAAGACCAAGTTAAGTTAAGGTCAGGCCTAAAAACTAAGCACAGTCAGCTAAACTTTAAATAGACCTACTACATTCCTAAAACCTAACAAGGTTAACCAATTCATCTGAAAAATATAAAATTATTTTCCTTCCAAGCCGATATGACAGCAGGAGTCGTTAATTTCACCTGTAACTTCTTGAGGGTTTCCTCGTACTTCTTTTGGAATCTCAGTCTCGCAGCTCTCAACTCGGCCTGATGATCATAAGGAGTATCTGCAAAAAATAAAGTATTATTCTACCATTATTCTACGACATAAAATCTTAAGACTATATACTTCAATATTTTTCAAACTGAAATTGCATTTTACACATATAACATGTTAAGTGATAATACCTTCCTTAATGTTTTCTCCGTTGGACGGAGCACCAGCAGATTTCACAGTCGCAGGCACATCGGCTAAACGTGAATCATTCTTTGGTACAGCACTAGTTTGATTAGCAACATCACAACGTTGGTTGATGTCAAATCGGTTGTTGTAATAAAGTGGCACCTGAAAATAAAACCACAGACTTGTAAGTTAAGCTTGATAATAATTGGTCAAATTAAGTAGTTCTTAAATGGTATACAAAAATCTGGTATCAGTGGTAATAATTTCATTCGTTCTCATTAAGAAGGCAGTTACAATTGTGTATTTTGATCTGAATATCAAGACAAGGTTAGTGTGGAATGGAGCTAGATCTGTACCTTTTTACTCACTAGGACTGATTTACCAGATACTTATTGCATGTAAAGCAGAACATTAAAAGTACTTGAACCCAAATGTTTTCATAAACTCCCAAATTATCACCATTAAAACGTTTAAAAAATGACTGGATGAACACAAATGTTCTGCGACATTGCATACACAAAAAAATCTTACTTAACTGACCTTATCGATAAGAAAAAAAGAAGGAAAAACATTAATTCTTAGTAGCCTATCAAACATTCTTAGGTAATTAATTACCTGTTCAGGTGTTGGTTTGTAGTGAATGGATGAACCTTGCTTGTCCATCTCCTCTTGCACTTCAAGTTTCTGAGCCAAAGCTTGGTTGAGCTGTTGCGGCGTAGGACGCAATACTAACACAGCTCCTGAAACAGTCAATATTAGTAAATTGAGTCGAAAATCTATGTATAGGCTTATCAAAATTTAATCAGTTAGTTTTAAAAGGAAATTGGCTAAAAGGAGATTTTAGAAAATAATAGAATAATTACAAAATGTGAAAAAAGTATTTGTGGCATTCACTTTCCCTGCAAAGCCTCATCAAAACCCACATTACAGCAAACCTGCAGACTAAGCGAATTTCCATTTACCTGGCTAGATTTCCACTCAAATATTGCGTCAGACTTAATTCCTATTAAAATAACATAAGTTTTAATGAGTAGGCTACTTAAGTTTGCTGCTACAGGGAAGGTAATGAGGTTTGATTTTTACTTTCTCCCCCTATACCATAGTATATGGAGAAAGTATTGTTTTTTGTTTTTGTCAACATTTTTGAGTTTGAGTTTAGAGTGGATATATTCGTTTTGGGTCCCCCTGGACCCAAAAAAGTGGTTTTCGAAGTGATGTCTGTGTGTGTGTGTGTGTCTGGATGTGTACAGAGCTAGGGAATACACCTGTGGTCCGATTTCGATGAAATTTGGTATGTAGGTTCTAATCCATGGTATCTCCAGGAGTTTTTTTTATTTTTTAGAAATTTTTATTTTTAATGGGGATTTTTCCATAAAAACCCATAAAAAACAGGAAAAATCAGATTTTCTCAAAAATGGCCCGATCGATTTTAATAAACATTTAGTATGTTGTAGCCCTTTAAATTCTGAAGAAAATAGTACAAAAAGGTTATTGTAAATTATGTTTTTTACCCATAAGATAAAAACCCCATAAAATAACGAAAAATAGGATTTTAGAAAAAAATCTTGTTTTGATTTAACTAAGTATGTTATGGTCCTTACAATTTTGATAGTTTTTTTTATTTTCTAGAAATTTTTATTTTTAATGGGGATTTTTCCATAAAAACCCATAAAAAACAGGAAAAATCAGATTTTCTCAAAAATGGCCCGAACGATTTTAATAAACATTTAGTATGTTATAGTCCTTTATATTCTGAACAAAATGGTACAAATCCCATTTCTGTAAAAATTACGGTTCAAAAGTTATGGTAAATTATGTTATTTTCCCATAAAAACCCCATAAAATAACGGAAAAATCTAATTTTCCCAAAAATGGCCTGAACGATTTTGAAAAAAATTTAGTATGTTATAGTCCTTTAAATTCTGAACAAAACTGTACAAATCCCATTTCCGTACATTTACTCTCACCACTTACACATGATAAAGGTTGTTGACAAACTAATGGGAGAAAGTACGTGTCAGAATGCTGATACCGTTTATTTTTATATGTCGTTGATAGCTTTGTATGAAATAAACAAAATTGCCACATTTAATTAAAATATATCCATAAGCAAGGAAACTACAATGATTAATTTATTATTCTAAATCAGAATATTAAAATAATTAAATTTACACTTTTTTAATTTTTTTTCTCCCACCAAGGTCTACAAATAGTTTCAAGGAAGAAATTGAAAAATGTTATGTTTGTAGGACCAAAAATTGGGAAAATACCCACATTTTACCCCATAGACCCCCCATAAATACCCGCTCCCATAGTCCCGTCATCCTGGTTTGCAAAATTGTTTAAATTTACGTGTTTCTAAAGGTTTGTACCAAATTTCATCAGTCGGATAATTTTTGTCCGAGTTATCGTGCTAACGGACACATAAATATAAATTTGAACGGAGGGTGTTTTTGGCCTCTGGGGACCTCAAAACAGTAAAGGATATTGGTCCCGGGTCCAGGTACCATGAGACCTAAGGTAATAGCTTATTCCCTATATGGGCAATTTGCTAAAAGAGTAAGAAATGTTAAATTACCTACCATTTTTATTTCTCAAAACACAGCTTGCAGGTTCTACACCAGAAGGTTTTGAGCTCTCCCCAGGTATTTGTTGAGGTACAGTATTTGCCTGTTGAACAATAAATAAATTATATTTAACAATGCGATATGTTCTCTATTTTAGGCCTACTTTTTTAAGTGATTTAAACCGTCCAATTAAAATTTTTTATAAAAGTTAAATCACTTAATACTAAAACTCGGGTTAACAAAAAACAATTAAAATTTAAATCAATCTGAAGATTATCTAGGCAACTCAAACTGTCGACCATGGCGCGGGGTTAGCTTAGCTTGACTCACTGTTGCTGCAAGCGTGAAGATAAAATTTTGAAAATTTACGTGGATTCTACAATGACAATACTTTGAAAACCTACTGTTGTAGACCATTTTAACCCATTGGCGCCGACTTACGAGCGTTACTCGTACGGCCGCTGCAGGCCCGGCGGCCGACTTACGAGTGCCGCTCGTGTCACCGCTAGGCAGCGCCATTAGTTATTTAGTTATTATTATTTTTCGCCCTTTTTGTTTCTTCTTACTATTATAATGTTTATAAATATCTTGCTTCTTGATTTGCGTTTTTACTAATTTTTTTTAGCGAATAACAAACAATTTTGTGTTGCCATAGAAACCACATATCACTAAAAATCAGCTGCGGTAAGGTAAACAAACAATTTAAAAAAATGTTATTACTTATAAAAGTACACAACTTTTGATTTTTCTACGTAGGAAATCGATTGAACTTTATAATAGTAGTGTTATTTGGTGTCTGGATTAATCTTGGAATTTGTATATCAAGTTTACTTTCAAAATATTGTTTTTAAAATTTTTATTTTTATAATCTTTATATATATATTTTTTTTAGTTTAGAACTTTGACTATTCAATTACCACTTTTCTGTAGACAATTTTACTGTGAACAAAATGGTGAAAGAATTATTAATTTATTACCTAAGGTTTTCTTTCTATTGCAGTTAGAGTAAAAGTCTACAAATTCGGTAAAATTAATTGCCGCCAGAGGGTGCTGCAGGTAGCGCATTAATTCCTTCCCCAATGGGTTAAACCAAAATTACCTTTGAGTTTGAATTCTAACAACTATCTAACCCAAAAATATGTTAACCAAAACAGCCTCCCTTACTTAGGTTATTCAGGGTTTATCAAAACAATTTTATAACTTGGTGATTAAATATTTAATACGGTATGGTCTTCATTTATTAACCGTCAAATGTACTTCCTAAAAAGGAAAAATACAAAATTTGAATGCATAACAATTCATAGAACCATCACTCCTTATTTATTCAGTGGCTTAAGAACATGCCACACCGACATCTGCCGCTCCCGCTGCGGGAGTACCACGTACGGACGTTTTACCTCGAGCCATCTCACGCCAAAAGTACCGTGTCCGCAGCGGGCGTTTTCGTTACAATTTGTTTTTACATAAGAAATACATCTTACCTATTTAATATGCCATGTAAATTTTCTGGTATTTTTTTTTTTTATTAGTTAAGTGTTTAAGAAGCAATTAAATGTTTATTTAATTGTTAGTGTACATTAAAAAAATTTTTGTAATTATTTTTTTTTAATTTAGAGTTTGACCTTATGTTCGTAGTGAAAGCATTTTAAATATGGTTAAAGATAAATTATCCGCTTTCAGTGTTTTGAACGTTGTTTTTTGCTACAGTACAAAGACAAATTACTTTTTAAATAAAAACACACTAAAATTTAAACTAATGGTAACTGTTTTTGCTAAGCCTTCTATTAAAAGTTCAAGTTTATATTAATTGTACAGTTTCGGTTGATGACGGAATAACATGCATAACAGTTGATGAAACAATAAAAATTGTTCGTTTACGTTGACAATATAAAATAAAATATTTTTTAGGAAACATTAAATTTTCACCGTGAACGCCGTGAACATAATTTTAGAATGGTAAAGAGTCATTATTTGTTTCTGGTGATGACCATAATACGAAAGCAACTGATAACAAAGTAGTGAAGCGATAATACAAAACAACATACATCATCAAACAAAAGAAACATGTTAAATTTAATTTCAAACTGTATTCCAGTACTTTGAAACTTTAAAATAGCTTGGCCATTCGAGATGCACCTTTGCACATGCGCTAGACAAAATTCCTGCCGCGGTAGTCTCAAAAAGTCGCTCAGCAAGCGGGCATGGCGGACACTAGTGGTAGTGCGGTGTGACTTGGCACATTTGATAGCATGGCTGCTGTAGCAAACTCAGTGTGACTTGGCCTTTACACCAGAAGAAGGCAAACTTATTATAATATATTGTAAAATTAATTTTTGTAGCACTAGAATTGCGTTTTATGACAAAAGATAGCCAAATATACCTCATCAGACATTCTTCAACGAAACTTCGCCATCATCAGGCTCCACTTCTTGAGGTGTTGTCGGCATAAGTAGGCCAATACACATTTAACACATAGCACAAAAACAATAGGCCTATCAATTGCCTATCAATTACACGCTTGTACATTGCTGAGGGCAGGACTGGAAGCAGAATCGAAAAAAAAGAAATGTGTATAGCTTATTCCGACAACACTCTAAGAAATTGGATCCTTTTGTTAGCCTGACGATGGCGGGGTTATAAAAACTGTCAAAACACATGTAGCAAGTTTTTCTAAACAATACTAGTTGTTAAGCTGTGTTTACATGAGGCTAATCTGCAGACAGGTTACTTGCCTCAAGTAACTTGAAATACATTAGAGGCAAGTAACCTGCCTGCTCTACTAGCTTAATTTAAACGCTTTAAGGATAGTCTGACGAGGTCTGTTCAGCCATTACTTTGTCAATAAACATTTTTTCAAATGACAAATAAATTATTTAACAAAAGCTCAGAAAAAAAATCACGAAATGAAATAAATTTTACCTGAGACACATTATTTGTGGAAGCGCTTTCCTCAATTTTGTCCAGCAGTTTACTCATATTCAACTGACGGTGAGCTTCCCGCACAGAATCTCTGTTTTGAACAGCTCCATCATTCACACTCTTTTCATTTTCATTGTGTATTTTTGTATCATTTTCATTCTTTTCGGTTACATTAGGAAATGTTGTAACCTTATTTTTAGGAATTGCTCCCTTTGTCGTGTCTGCTCCTGGTTGTCTCGTTGCTGGTCCTAGGAAAACAGATATGATTATTTATTTATCTTTATTGCAAATATCGTCCAAGTGAAGTCTTTTTCTGCAAAAATTACATTAATGTCCAATTTAAAATGTTCAAGGACATAAATGCAAGAAGAGTGTAAACTACAAAATAAAGAGAGATGATCTAATTAGCTTTGTCACTGACTAAGATAAGTTGCTTCATTGGTCAAGACTACTTATTTAACCCAATGATCAGGAACAGCTGGGTTTAGTTCTGAAAGATACCTAATTTCTAATTTCATTTGAACTAGAAGCCATCTGATTGTAGGGTGAGCACTATAACCATTCAGCTACTCTTAGCTATGCTCTTACTTTCAGATGAAAGACGATATATTGAGAACCATGGGAAGTTTGGAATATATTATAGAGAGTTTAATTTGTAGGAGTCAGAACTAATAAAATGTTTAAGGAGGGCCCAGTTGCAATTGTAGAGAGTTTGAGAGAACAGAGACTAATGAACACACGGTGGGAACATCAATAAAAGTGTCAGATCATGTTTCAAGGTATTCTTTGTCATGAATTCAAACTATAGAGGCTTATGGTAACACAGTTCAAATTGTAGAGGTTGAATTTGAATTTTGGAGGTAACAGTTTAACTACGGAACAAATTTTGAATTGAAGAGGCTCGAGTATATAGAAATTTTAATTGTAGAGACTGCATATGCGTAAAAATCTCTTTGAATTATCGGTATATTATTCAGGGCCGCCCCGAGGGTGGGGCGAGTGGTACGACCTTTTTGCTTTTGGAAGGTAAAAAAAATTAATAACGTTATCGACAAACCGCAAATGAATATTTCACGGGAAACTCGTAAACGTGTAATCAATGACAATGACTATTCTAAAAAAAGGCAATCTATAGCTTTCATTATATTCATAAAATAAATACCGTTATTTAATATACAACTCGTACTACTATTACTACTTGTACGTCTGGAATGTGACTTGTTGGCAATACTGCGAGTCCGAGATACACTGCGTATTCACCACATGCCCCACCTACACTTGTTTGTTTCTAACCTCAAAGCTCAAGCTCTTAGTCAAATCATATACTCGTTTTGTGATGTACGTTGTGAGTCGTAAGTTCAATGATTTTAATAATTTAGTTTAGTGTAGTTGTTACGTTTATATAAATACTTGCAAAACATTCTATACCGATATACAGGATGTTGGGTCTATTGACCCCCCAAATACCTTTTTTGGGGACGAGGCGAAAATTTAAATCTCGCCCCGGACATCTATTACCCTCGGGGCGGAACTAATATTATTTTTTTAATTTAAGAGGTTTTCTGAGGGGAATAGACAACAATTTCTAATTATAGAGGTTTTTTAAACTATTTAGGTTTGAATTAGCCAGGCACTACTGTAATTAGCAGGTACATCAAAACTTCCCAATTAATATGTCGAATTGAGGTTTACTAAGTCAGCAAAAAAAAATGTTTAAACTCAAAAGTAAAAATGCGTAGGCCTAAACAAGAAGAAAAAATGTAAGGTGATTGTAAACCAAAAATGTGTTGTCGTCAACTAACAAAATGTGTGTAGTTTTCAAAACTGCAACTTTTTAACTGAAAAAATAAATTAAGGACATTTTTTACCGAAATTCTGAATCTTCTCTTCTGATACGATTGTCTGGAGATCTTTGGCTCTGGCTTCTCTCACTTTAATACATCCGGTGCATTCTCTTTTCTCTTCCTTTTTAATTCCCTGGCCAGGGGTACTTGGAGCTGAATTCTTTTGCAATTTCTGAAACAAACAAAAATAAATAACAACTAAGTGCAATCCAATTATAAACGATTCCAGTATCAAGTATTTTATTATTTATTATACATGTTTAACTTTGCAACCGGTCACACTACTTGAAAAAGTGACCAGTTTAAATTTCTCAATAATTTTTATGATTGTAACATGTTTTGTGATAAGGGAAATAAATTGATTAATTATTCATTTAGATGATACTATAGCAGATGAAGTATCAACTCACACCCAAGCTAGAGACAGTTTATTTAAGACGGGCGCCCTCCACTCCAGCTAAGCCATTTATTACCGAGTTCAATATAGGCACAAACAAGGTTTCAAACACCTCAACAGGACACGTCAATGCAACACCGTAGCCAACTGAGTTACCATACCACCATTGTCCACTAGAAGAACACAACTTAAGCGATTGCAAGTTATACTTGACAAACTACTTTAACACCTTTCAATTAGCACTTAGCAGAACGGCTATCTCGCAACAAATTGAAGTGACGGGTTACACACATGAGTCAATGAGCCAAATTAGAATTTATATTTCATCATAACTGGAGAAGGTTTTCTTGACAATTAGTCATGAAAAAATTGCCACAGACATGGTTGGCTATTATTTATAATGAAATGATGGTACCTAATAAGAATGAACAAAAAAATATTTTTAGATACAAAAAGGTCAGACTACTACATTATTCTATTTACCTCTTTCTGTTTTGTTTCAAACTCTATTTGACTTAGTAACATTGCTTCAATAATCAACTGCTCTTCTTGCCTTTGAAGAAATTCTTCTTCCGTTTCACCTTCTAGCATCAACTCGGGGCCTGAAAAGCGGTTTATGTATAACACATGGAAATGTTTACAGTGCTTTGATATTAAAATGCGCCTTTCATGTTTTTAGTTTGGACAATAATAGGTTTTTTACATACCTCAGTCAAATAGTCCAAAAATGGTATTGCTCAACAGCTGTTGAATTTGACGTTATCTTCCAGTTGTAGCTCAAGAACATCTGAACCAAACTAAAAATCTAAACTCATGTTTTCGGCCCCTGGACTATATTGTTAAGACAATAATAGGTTTTTTACATACCTCAAATAGTCCAAAAATGGTATTGCTCAACAGCTGTTAACAATATAGTCCAGGGGCCGAAAACATGAATTTAGATTTTTAGTTTGGTTCAGATGTTCTTGAGCTACAACTGGAAGATAACGTCAAATTCAGCTAATTGTGTTTGAATGCCAATTTGTTGCCGGATTGTGATATAAAAGGATTTCTTTATTTGTTTGTTAAAAGACAATGGCTAATACCGAACTACTAGTGTGTGCAAATTTTCACAAGATTTTAAACTTCAAAAGAAAACGAACACATGTTGGTCATTGGTGAACAATTTCAAAGTAGGAAGATACAAGTACCAATTGATGAATTAATGAACATGTGTTAAAAGGCAAAACATTTAAGTAATCAATTGAGCCAAATATTATGACATTGGTAACATCATTGTTAATGAGCTAACACAATCCGGTGTTTCAATTGTTAGCTACCAATGAGCTCAAATATGTTTGTAAAAAGTATATTAAAAATTAGTTTCCTTCTTTGTTAATGAACAAATTTTTAAAATTCAGTATTAAGTATTAGAATACTTTAATATTAGTGTCGTTGTTAGAAAAATTTTAATGGAATTGTCCAAGTAAGAAATTATTGCAATAAGTTTTTTTTTTTTTTAAAGGAATGTAGTTATTATGGTATTCAACCATAAATGTTATAAAGGGCCACCATTTTAACAGTTAACATAACAAATGATGACGATTTTTTATTATTGTCTTTGCGTTTAGCCAAAAAAGTTGCTATCAAATAAAAAACAGTTTGTAAAACAAATGATGGGAGTACAGTTAACTTTTGTGTTTTACAATTTGTAACGTGATATTTTAAATTTTTTCTTTCAGGAAAGATGCCTTAAAAGGTCTGGAGAGAGTTCCTACAAAGTAATTTTCAGAGAGTTTAATCTAAAGACAATTGTTGATCCAGTGTACAGCCTAATAAAAATTTGTTTGCACTTACTTATGGGAGCTTGAAGATCCGGTCTCTCATTATTCGGGACGTCCTCGTCGTCATCCAAGACCTCCAATACCTGCCTTACACACCTTTGTTCATCTGAAAAAGACCAACAAAAATGGGTTGAAATCAAACAGAACTATTACGGAAAATGATACACATAAAGGAATCGAGGGAATTATTTGATTTGTGAGATTTACAGTGCTTCCAAAAAACCAGTGGTACTTTTGGAATTCAAAGAAACAGAACATTTTTGTTAAGATATGCTTTAGCTCTGATTGCCTACAATACTAGTCTATCTTTTATAGCCCCTTAAAAATATTAAACACTAGCTGAGTACCCGTCCTTCGTACAGGGTTGGTGTTTAAGTACAGTATGCTTATTGCAGTTATACAGTGCTTTGCGTTTGCAATGGGAGAGGACACGTTTTAAGAAAATTTTGTTTACTATAATTTACGGTATACTATTACAGTAGCACATCTACCATAGCCATAATGTTCTATCACTGCACCTAAACAATAGAGAAAAGTAAAGTTTTCAGTGCTTTGTTGCTTTGTTGCCGCTTGGTTCAAATAAGATGTTGTCATTAATGTAAAAATAATTAACAGTGCTGCACCCTGTTGGGAAACCTTATAACCTTTTTTTTTTTTTTTTTTTTTTAAGGGAGAGGAGGGAAAATGCTTTTACGCACACAGGTAGCCAGCCTGTAGTGTGAGACTCCTGAATCTATCGCAGACTACTCACTAAAAAACCCCCTCTACTCTGTTGGACACAGACCTGGAATTGTTTGTCACATTACTTCAAGTCAGGCCAACATGTTACCTAAGCCCTCAGGGCTCTCACCGTTTATGGCATTTGGATACTTTAAGACCTACACCGCATCCCGGTCAAGGTCGAGCTTCTTGGCGCGGAGAATACCCTGGATGTAATGTGACACACAGGTCCAATTGTCCTCACCCTCCGTCATCATCGGTATGACCGTGTCCACCGACAGCAGTCCTACTAACTGTTGAGCCTCCAGGCGGGGCCTTTCCCAACGCTGGCAGTGGAAAAATGTATGTTCCACGTCATCGGGAATGCCTGGGCAGTATATGCAATCGGGTGACACGGCTTTGCCCATCCTGAACAGGTATGACCGGAAAAAGCCGTGACCCGTCAGAAATTGGGTGAGGTAGAAGTCCACCTCTCCGCACCGCCGATTAACCCAAGGTTGGACTTGCTTTATCAGTCGCCTGGTCCAGCGTCCCCGAGTCTCCTGTTCCCAGCTCTCTTGCCACAGCTGGTAGGTGCGGGTGCGTTCCTCTGTTCGTGCCTGGTCCTCCCCACGGCGCTGATAAATTGCTTTTCTCTCCGCCGCCAAAAGTTTGACGGGGATGACTCCAGCAACCACCAGGACGGCGGGTTCGGACACTGTTCGGTAGGCGGATGCAACTCTTAGTGCTGCCTGACGCTGCACTCGGGCAAGCCGCATCCTATATACCTCCTTATTTAGAGCGTCTGCCCACACCTCAGCACCGTACAAGAGTACGGACTGGACAGAAGACATTAACAGCCTTCTACGGCTGGACCGAGGCCCTCCGACATTGGCCATCAACCGGCTAAGAGAGGAGACCACCCTAGCGGCCTTGTCCGCCGTACGGAAAATCTGATCCCGCCAGCTAAGCTTGCTGTCCACCATAATCCCAAGGTACTTGGCAGAACGAACGGTCTGGACTTCAACGGCCCCTACCCTCAACGGCACGATGGTGTCAATCCGTTTTTTTGTTAATATCACGATCTCAGTTTTGCTCAAAGCAAGCGAGAGACCGTGGTCTGTCATCCATGCGTTTATAGTACGCATAACTCGGTTCAGCTTTAGCTGAGCCAGCTCAACGCTACGTGCAGCTATCAAAACTGCAACGTCGTCCGCGTACCCAACCAAAACAGTTTCCTCAGGCATTTCAGACCTCAGGAGGCTGTCATACGCGACATTCCAGAGGTCCGGGCCGAGTATGGAACCTTGGGCAGCACCGGAAGTGACACTCATCGTCCGTGGGCCCTCTGTAGTGTCATACAAGAGGAGGCGGAACCGGAGATAATCCTCTATGATACGCATGAGGTATGCCGGGACGTGAAAGGTGTTCTCCAGAGCATCCAGCATATCGCACCACCTCGCCGAATTAAATGCGTTTCGCACATCGAGAGTGACGAGCAGCACAACCCTTCGAGAGTAGTGGTTAAAATCCTCAGCTCTCATCACGGCTTGCTTCACCTCTTCAACAGCGTCAACCGTAGATCGCCCCATCCTAAATCCATACTGCCGAGGGGACAGGTCCCCCGCAGCGACTACGGCTGAATTCAGTCGGGAACGTATCAACTTCTCGAGGACTTTTCCAGCCGTATCCAACATACACAGAGGTCTGTAAGAGGATGGCAGGTCTGGATCTCCCTTCCCCTTCCCAACAAGCACAAGCCTAGCTGTTTTCCAGCACGAAGGGAAAACTCCTTCGACTAGGCAGGCATTGTACATGCGTAAAAGGATCAAGGGGTTAATAGTCAAAACCTTTTTGAGAACTTCGCCGGGTACCCCATCGGGTCCAGGAGCCTTATTGTTCTTCAGGGATAGGACGGCCGCCTCCACCTCTCCAAGACTGAAAAGTGGTACGTCATCCACCCTTCCGAAATCCCGCAGTGGGCGCAACGTGTGAGCCGGGAAAAGGGACTCGACTATCCTCTCCATAGTGGCCCCATCCATGACGGAAGGTGGAGAGCGGGTGCCAAGTTTCTTGGTTACCAGTTTGTAACCCAAGCCCCACGGATTGGAATCGATATCGTCCCTTAATGTCTCCCAGCAACTACGTTTACTCCGGTTGATGGCTCGACGAAGAGACCTCCTAGCCACTCTGTAAGCATCCGACTTACGACGTCTGTCTACAGGTTCTCTGGCCCTGGTAGCAAGTCTTCTGGCTCTCAATGCTGACCGACGCAATTCCGCAATCTCGGCAGTCCACCAGTACACAGGTCGCTTATTGCACCGGGATCTTCCGCGAGGCATAGACTCATCGCAAGCGGAGACGATTAGTCCCATCATGGATGTAACTAACACCTCTGCATGAGCCACACTAGTTGCGGGGGGAACCACCGGTGTTCCTCGTAAGATGGCTTCATTGAATTTTGCCACGTCCAATTTTTTAATATTCCATCGAACGGGCACTTGACGAAACGCGGCTACTTGTCTCTGATGACCATCCAGGACATCAAAAATAATGTACTGGTGGTCACTGCCCGTGTAATCCTCCAGAACTCTCCAGGCTCTGATCCTTGGCAAAAGGGACTCAGATGCAAGGGTTATGTCTGGGATCGTTCCCCGCATCCCAGGGCGCCGGAAAGTTGGCGTGTTTCCCTCGTTGACGACAACGAGTCCGGCTCTGGCAGCAAAGTCCAGAATGTACTTGCCCCGGGAATTGGTGAGGGTCATTCCCCACTCGACAGCCCTAGCATTAAAATCCCCACCCACGACGACGTGTCCTGTGGTATTGCGCACGCTCTCTTCCAGGCGGTCTATCTTCTCACGAAATTCACGGATGGCCTCGTTGGGAGTGAGGTAGACACTAAAGTAAGTGACATCCCGGCACCGAACCCAAACGAAACCTCGGCCCTTCGCGTGACCCCCTACTTGTACTTTCGCTGCATTACGCGCCCAGAATGCAGCAGTACCAAGACTATCAGGGAACCAAAAAGATGGGTCCCTATCACGGTACTGGTACTGTTCGCTGACTAAGAGCGCGTCGACATCGTGTTCTAGGGCAAGCTGACATAGAAGTGCGTCAGCCGACCTGGATCGCTCAAGATTGCACTGAAGGATTCTTATCTTCGTGAAAGGACTTTCGCTTGCTGTAGTGCAGATTTGAATACACTACACTGTCCAGACCCAGCTATATGCTTCAAGTGTTTGTCAGCGAGCCCATTTTCTTTGCAAAGGAAACAGGACTCGACTTGGCAGTCCTTACGGACGTGACCGACCTCCCCGCACCGAAGGCAGTTCTTGCTTCGGTCGGGTCCCTTGCAGTTTCGGGAGGAATGGCCGAAACAGAGGCATTTAAAACACCTCTTCACTTCCACTCTCCGTCTGAGCCTGCAGTTGACCCAGCCGACTCTCAGATGCTGGAGTCCCAGCACTTTCGTGGCATGTGCGTCTGCCATTTCGGCGACCGCCATCCGCTGCTGACTCCTGTTCGGTTTTGTGAGCCACACCTTAAATAAAGCCGTTTGCCCGCCAAGCTCGGGGACAGCTTTCTTCAGGGCCTCAACAACATCAACCTCCGTCGACACACAATCAATGTCTCGAACCTCGACTGATGTCTTTGGTTCAAGAGCACGGACGGTGCCCTGGCCTTCAACAGCTGCCTTCAGTTCGGCAGTAAAGGCTGCTTTGTCTTTCGACTTACCCAGTTCAAGGAGAACGTCCCCGTCCCGGGTTCGTCTAATCGACCGTACAACCGTATCGGTCTGCTCTGGCTTAGCCTTGGCCTTAATTGCACCCAAGACCTCGGCGAAAGATCTCCCCCCTGAGGGCTTGACCAGGATTGCCTCCGTCCTGGGCTTTTTTGGCCGGGACTTTTTCGGAGCAGAGACCGAGCCGGGCCCAGTTTGGGCCACGCCGGTCAGCTGTGCCTTCACTGCCACATTCTTTATAGAGGCGACCTCCGCCCGCCTCAACTGCCTCTTCTCCTTTCGGGAACGACGTTTTTCCCACGCAGCCCCAGGTGTCTCTACGACTGACCCCTTTCGGGAACTTCCCTGAAGGGGGGTCGTAGGTAGCTGTGGTTGTTGGCTCTTTGCAGGAGCTGCAGCTATGTCCGAAAAGGATCTGGGCACAGCAGACAATAGATCAGTCTGAGTTGCCTTGGCCTTTACCGTGGTCCTTTTGGTTTGGACGCCTTCTTCTCTTTTTTGAGGACTGTCCGATGTGGAAGGCCTTTTACGTTTCTTAGAAGGCAGTGTTCTTTCGTCAGACAGAGACACAACCTTCTCGGCAATCTTCTCCATGGCTGCCTTACTCACCACCCGGCAGGCAAAAACGAAGCCAAGGTCATCCTCCAGTTTGGCCATGCCGTTTTTGACCACTTGATTTACGGCTTTCTGGGTCCGGAAGGTGTCCAGCATAGCCTTGATCGTAGCTTCCATGTCTTGGAGCCGGGTTTCAATGTCACTCTCTGCGTCAAGATATTCTATTGCATATCATAGAATAAACTTGTGTAGTTGGAACAGCTGGCACAATTCCTTAATTCCCTTTAAATATGAATACTCATAAGGTTAACATGGAAAATTCTAGAGCCACTGGGGCGGAGCCCGAAAGGATTTTTGAGATAATAATATGTCTATATAATCGGGAATGAGAGCTATCATCATGCCAAATTTCAACCCAATCTGACCAGTAGTTAATGAGTGATTGAACTTCAAACTATTTTGTCCATATACTCCCAATAATTTGGCATTTCAAAAATGTGTCACTCAATTACTTAACATAATATAGAGGATTTTATCTATTGAACCTAAAAATAAGAAAAATATAACTTTCAACTTGGGGAAAACCATTCAGGTAATTATACATTACCTGAATTATCGTCTGGGTCTAGTTCAAAGCCAATTTCACAATCTATATTATTTTCCAAATTTTCCACTCCCTTCTCTTCTAGATTACAACTCTCTCTTCCCTGGAACAAATATAGAATTGTAGACCTCGAGTGAAATTGACTTGTTCCATAAAGAATAAGACTATGAATAATGAAACAGTAAACATAATCTGGACAAAGAGGTCTAAAACAAATTAACTAAAGCAAACATCCATATGCTTAACATGGAGCATACCCAGTTAAACCACTTTTATTTAGCTTTACGTCGCTAAACCAAAACCATAATAAAATTTGCAGACAACAACACGGATCTCAGACTGTGATATAGACAAAGTTTAGAAAACATAGGTTGAAGAGTTTCATATAACAGCAATTACAACAAACATATCAAACTAAAACTACTGTTGTAGACATCTTTGAATAGACGTATCCTTTAAATTTCATATCATTGATTAACAGAACAAATCTTTCATATTTATTCCTGTTAGTCAAGTATTTACTGTATTGAAATCAAACTATTAATTTTTTAATCGTATACTTATACTAAAATAGGCCTAATCATTTCAATAGTGTATTTACTACCTATTGCTACTTTACACTCTGTTAAAATCCTGCAACTTTTCACAAAGTATTGTATTAAATAACAAGAATACCATTTAAAAAATGACCAACCTTTCTTGCAAAGTTTTTGAGTTGTTCATGCTGTCGCTTCAGTACCTCTTCAAAAGTCTCATTTGGGTTGTAACCCACAGCTAAAACATATTTAATTGTTAGTGTTTGGAGAATTATCAGTGTTAATCTATATAATTCAGCAATTTCAGGTGGCCATAAAACGTTTTGTTTGTATGGTTGATTTCGAACATATGTTTCATTCTCTCCAAGATGGTTCACTCCAAAAAGTAATTTTATTTGCCTGTTCATTCGCTCCACTGTTCATTCAATTCAACGGGTACAGACAGCTCTAGAAGGAGACTAACCAGTAGAAAATATTAATTTTGAATTTTACTGTACAATGGATCGAATGCACATTGGAGTGAACGATCAGTATAATTTAAATATGTAATAATCTTGAACTGTGCGGGGGAGCGAGCTGGCGTAGTGGTTAGAGCGCGGGACTTCAGTCTGTGAGGTCCCGGGTTCGATCCCCGCCAAGTCACCAATGGATTTTATCTAAGTGATAATGCCGCAACCCCTAGGTCTAGCCTGAAGTAATGTGAAAAACAATCCCAGGCTTGTGCCTAGCGTCCTAGGACAAAAAAAAAAAAAATCTTGAACTGTGCGTACACTCCAAGATCGTTCGCTCCAACAGTGATGGGTGTTACACAGGCTTGAGGCGCTTGTATATTGTCGTGATAGTTTAGTATAGGCTAAATCTTTTTAACCACTTGTTGACCTTTTAACTTTTATGACTTTACAAAAATAATACTTTGATAACGTTACTTCTATATTTTATGCATAATTAATTGGCGATAACTTAAGACGTACTCCACGGGCATATTGGAAAATGTCTGCTATACAATTTACATACACACATCTATTATGTTATTGTTATTAAAGTGATAGGTACAATCAAATTTTATGTAAATGATAAATGGCCTTAACCAAATAAAAACTCATAGTGTGTAGATTTGCCGAAAAGTATTGATGTGAAAGAATTCTTTTAGAGTTCCGCCCAATAGACCGATTTGCAAAAGTTAATTATGATTATTTTCTTCTATTACTGTATAGTGAGCAACAGCTGGTCAATGCAATTGACAATAGTTTGTTTATTTACATTTTTGTTTACTTATTTTATTATTATTTGTTCTTAAAAGAGGTGCGGTAAGTTATTAACATTGATGCTATTTCTAGCCGTTTGATACAAGTGAATGCTTTAAAGTGTGTGAAAGACAGTGAATATGAGATGAACAAAACATCTTTTGGTCGTCGTAAAAGAGAGCGTCAGGCCCTCGAACTCTTGGAGGACTACTTTATGTTCTTGATTTAAGTGAGGCTTCTAACCAAAGTATGGAGAACAACTCAGTTAGATCAGACGATTTTGCACGGATTGGGAGAAATGTTGACATAAATAAATCCATACGTGATATTGTATAAGAATCTACACCAAGTTATGTCTGAGGAAGTCGTTGCTGCACAAAGGAAGAACCGACCAGTAAGAGAGTATGTTTTAGCATTTCATTAATTTAATGTAAACATTAATCCTTAACACTACCTCACTATGTAATAGGGAGCCCTTTGGAAATCAGCCTGTTCGTTAATATCAATAATTTAAATATGGGTTAATAAATGGGTTAATTAAGGTTATTTATTATTATACGCTACCAAGTGTCGCATATATGTGACGTCGCAATCATTGCTTCGGACAGAGGTATACAATTTAATCTTACACATAGACCAGCTGTCACTTGGTTAACAGTACACACAGACCCCGGGCGAAAACCTGTTAAACAGTGATCATTTACTTTGTAATACACTGCAATCGTGTTTGTAAATAATATATTCTTGTTTTTTTATATTTTTGATAACCTTTTGTAATGTCCCATATTTGCGACACCAGATCTATAGTGAAGACACTAGTGAAAATGATTATATTTTCTTGAAATAGTCCAAACACCACATTTATGTGACAGTTCATTTTTGTTTATGTTCTGAGGTGAATGTAAGTAAGAGATTATTGAAGAACAGTTTATAATTGAACAAAATATAAAAGCTACATAGGATAATGCAGCATACATACATACAGTGGTGCAAAAAAGTAGAGACCAGTTTTTCCGTATGCATTGCACAACGTCCAAGAATATTATTCAGTGTCACGACGTCCAAAATATAATTTTTGAGCTGTTGCACGACGTCCAACATAAAATAATTACTGTTGCAATCTAATTAAATCTACAAATAGAGAAAACTACCTCAAATTGGGGAAAACTATAAAAAATCATTCATTACCTAAATTATTGTCTTTGTCTACTTCAAAGCCAGTTTCCTGATGTACTGGTATGTTATTGTTTTCCGATTTCTTAACACTCTTTTCCAGACAGTGGCTATTTTGATCCTGGAACAAACATAACATTGTAGATCTCGGGTAAAATTAACTTGAAGACCATAAAAATTCAGGTATGTATTTTGTCAACCAGGGTAATGTGGTAGTGATATAGTAGAACCTCGATTACAAGCCTCTCATGAATACTACTATTGTAGTTTAGTTATCAAGGTAGACTTCTCTTCGAGATTTGCAGTTACATATGAAAAAGGAAAGGGTAACATCCAAGGGGATTTTTAATTTTAACACTGGTTATCAAGGGTGACTTGTAATCAAGGTTCTACTGTATTGAATTTGTGTATAAACTGAAAAATTATAACCTCTAGGAATCTACAGGCTAGACCCCTTTAGCAAGAGGCAAAAATTGTTCACTCTTGGACCTCAGGTCTTGGAAAGAATCAGGTTCCAATAAAATGTTGTACATTACCATAGACAAATACCCCCGCCGCAGCAAACCTGCAGACTAAGCGAATTTCCATTTGACTGATTGGATTTACACTGAAATGTCTACTTAAAAATATAACATTTATTCTTGATTTAAATAGAATTAGTTTAACAAGTACTTAGGTTTGCTGCATCAGGGAGGGTAAAACTGTTTTTTTTTTTTTGTAAAATGTGAATAGTTAGTAAGAAATAAAAACATTTTCCAAATTTGATCAAAATATGTTCACAAACAAGCAAACTACAAAAGATTACTTATTCTCCATAAGAATAACATGGGAATTTTAAATTTACAATTTTTTGGAATTTTCTCCTTAACCATTAGGCACATAATAACGCTTCAATATACTAAATTATTTGTTTTTTTAAGCTCTACAAAATGCTTTGTTTGAAGTTCATTGTTGGTGATGGTGAGTTAATGTTGTTCAAAGGTTTATTGCGGACATTTTCCATCACGAATGTAAAAAACATTTTTTTTTACATTCGTGATGGAAAATGTCCGCAATAAATCTACAAAATGGTTTGGAAGGAAATTGCTAAATTTTATGTTTTTTGGGTCAAAAATGGGAAAAACCTATTTTTACCCCATAAAACCCCCCGTAAACCCCCGTTCCCATGGTCCGATCATGCTGGATCGCGAACTCGTTCGAATAAACGTACGTTTACACGTTTGTACCAAATTTCATCAAAATCGGATCATTTTTGGGACACATATATATATATATATATATATAAATATATAAATATATATATATATATATGAATTTGAACGGATGGTGTTTTTGGCCTCTAGGGACCTCAAAATGAAAAAAAAAATCGGTCCCGCGTCCAGGTCTTACCATGAGTACTACGGTAATAGCTTATTCCCTATATGGGAAATTCGCTAAAAGAATTAAATATCCGTCAGCTGTGCTGCGGTTACCATAGGCTCTGGCCCACACCGCTTGGAGCGCTATGTAGTTACGGCGTACACGCTACCTAAACTACAGCGGTGTGTGCCAGAAACTATGGTAACCGCAGCACGGCTGACGGTCTATATTTAATTCTTTTTGTCTATGAAATTATCTGCAGTAAATGCAATGAAACCCTAAAACGATCGTGGCTTGGAATCCTTGCCAAAATCCTAAACATCTTTCATGGTCACGGCAAAATTATCCAATATTTCTTACATTCGCTATAACATGGAGTTGCCTAATTATTTACCATTCAGCAAACTGTTTCATAAGTTCTTACGATCACAGTGACTTCCGTCAAAATTGTGAGCAAAAAAATTGTGATAATTATAAAATATAAGAGACTAAATACAAACCAGATGCTCTTGGGTCATGTTGTGTTTTTGTTCATTTGGCTCTCTTTGAAACACCGATTCAGGAAGTTTATTTTCAGTTAGGTTGTTTTTCTGCTGCTGCTTGGAAGATGGAGAATTGGTTCCCACTCTCTCTTTTGGTTTTGCATGCTCATTTTTTGAAGTCTCAGCAGTTAAGTAATTGGGAGCTTAAACAAAAAAAAAAAATGGTTGTTTACCAACTAAAATTTATAGGCCTAATACTAAAAAGAAAGCTGAAGTGTTTTTTTTTTTTTTTTTTTTTGTCCTAGGACGCTAGCCACGAGTCTGGGATTGTTTTTCACATTAATTCAGGCTAGACCTAGGGGTTGCGGCATTATCACTTAGATAAAATCCATTGGTGACTTGGCGGGGATCGAACCCGGGACCTCAGAGACCGAAGTCCCACGCTCTAACCACAACACCAGCTCGCTCCCCGAAGTTGTAGTGTAACGAAATTATTAAGTGAAAGGGGATGTTGTAGGTTGCACATTATTCTAGTGATGTGTCAAAAAGTACTGCCAAATCTCAAAACCACTATAACTTAGCACAAGTTTTGTTTTTGCGATTTGATCAGAGAGTTTCGAGTTTTTAAACTTAGTATCTTGATTCTATTAACTATTTAACCAATAATACACTACGCCACTGCGGTATAATTAATTGTATTTTAATGTTACTATGGCATTGTCAGGAGTTTAATTCATTTCAGTGTAGGCCTACGTTGTTTATAAAAATTATGTGTTTTTAGGTTTTAACTATGTTATTCATATTATTTATTATGCCAGAAAACAATTTCATTCAGTGTCGATTACATAGTAAACATATTATAACCTGGATTATTTGAAACCTTAATTAGTCGAGTAAAAGAGTGTTGCATTTGGATTTTAAAAAGACAAAAGTTTCTGGTTTAGACCGTCACTACACAATAGAAGCTAGATTATCCCACCCAGACTACCACATCGGAAAACTCTAAAAGTAATGGAAACGCCATCTTGAAAATATTCAGTTAATTATATTATTATCTTTGTCAAACTATTCAACACTTTAGATTTGTCTTTTGACGCAACTGACTTTTAGGGGTGTGCGATGCAGCATATTTTTTTCGATTCGATGCATCGATGCGATTCAAAGAATTTCTATTCGAATCGATGCGATTTGATTCGATGCAGCACGGCATGATTTTCTTTAAAAATTAAATACAACATGTGTTTCTGTAATAGATACTTTACTTTAAAAAAGTTAGAGTAAAAAATGTACTAAATAAAATTATGAACAAGAGGATATTTGCTGACCTAACCTCATTAGTGGACACTGACTAATTTATGGTTGGCCTAAGGAAAAGTTGACCTAAGAGATCAGTGAGGCCTACCAAAAAGAATATAGTTATTAATTAGAACTTAAATAATATATAATGTCACTTTCTCACTATTTATATCTTCAACATTTGTTAAATTATGAAAATAAGTCACTAAGTCTAGCTGAAAACACATTAATAAATTACGATATCTTTTCAATACAGAATAATAAAACAAACCACATTTTACAAACATTGTATTTCTTAACTTTTTCCCTTGAACAGGGTGAGGAGGCCAACATTTTTTTTATGACTATCAACAAAAATAAGGTATCAATTATAATTTCACGTAAGCCGCTGATGAGTGAGCTGTGAAGAGCAGACGACAGAATTACGTCACTACCACAACAACTCAACTCTACTGCGATTGCGAACTGCGGGTGTTTAGTGTGAAGTGAAGTGAAGCACCACCTCCCCTGTCTATCGGGACAAGGGGTAGGAAAGAGAAAGTTTGTCAGAATGGCAGACTTGCCCTTTGTAAAGTCTGGTTCACATGCCCTCCCTCACCACCCTCAGTCGCTTGCATAATTCTACTAACCAAAAGTTTCTGAGTGTTAATTTTAAAATATATGTTTGAATTCAATGACTAAAGCATAGATCTGATAAACTTTGCTCTAATTTATAAATGGGCTTATCAGAATATTATCAGCCATTTGTCAGTTTTTTTTATTTCTTTACTTTATATGTAAAGATATCTTTTAATTTAGCCTTCAAGAAAAGAAAGATCATGTTTTGTTTGGGACTTAAATCTCCTTGATAAAAGAGAAAAAGACTACACGTTTGATGCAATTAATTTCAATAAGTTAATGTGCAACCATGCGACAATTTTTTCTAAAAAAAATAACAGCCTACAGTGTAAAAGAATCGTGTGCATTGTGCAGCAAAATATGTTTCTTCGGGTTATTTTAACAAACATTCCATAGTTTTAATTAGTAACAAAAAATGTGTTTATGTTCCTGATGATACCAAGAACAAGGCTGGGCAGAGTGGATTCACTGTGAACCAGCCGGGTACGACACGTAACTACAAACTTAGATAAAGCATAGCCTACTCCCTTGTGTTGGTTAGTCTATGCTACAACGATCGATTGGAACAATTAATTGATGTTTTGAGCCAAAATATTCATATTGATATATAATCGGAAAAATTGATGTTTTATTAAAATATTATATAAAGCCATATGTCAAGAATTAGTTAACTGACATAATTGAACGTCAAATCTAGGTCTTTGTAAGACAAAAGAAAATCACACAGTTTTAAACTTTAACCTAATTTTATACTCTTTATAAACAAACACGTCCTACATAACGGTTCTTGATATTTATCAATGTATCTTATCAACACCCTTCCCACAATAATAGACTCACACACAAATAACGACGTCAAAGCAATTGTCACTTGCTCCATTGAAACACGAACGTCGATTGGCTGACATGACAGTGCAGCGTGGCCTCTCGACCAATGAGAACTCTTGTTACATACTTTGATTTATCTTAGATAGTCAACATTTACCATTCATTATAATATTACAAAATCGACATGGACTATGCCTACGGTGTTTTCCAATCAATACTTTATGTTATAGTAGCACTTAAAACTTCACTTAAACTCTTAAACTAGGTAGATAGTACATATATAATATGGATCTACTTTTTGGTTCAATAGGCAAGTGCAAGCCTAACCCTCTGATTTCGACGATGTTGTAATTGAATCAAATTTTTCTAATGATGCGTAATGAAGGGAAGAAACTGAACATTTAGACAAGTTTAGGTTATTTATTTTGTTCTAAAAATAAAAATAATACATTTAAAGGTCTGACTTATTGATACAGACATTTTTTAGTATAATTTCGTGTTGAGGACACTCGCCGGTTGTCTGAGACTGAATTCTGCTGACTGTCTGACATCTTGAAATGTAGATTGTATTGTGTTGTGCAATGTCATCTGCCTGCAGAGAGAACAGCTGAAGCTAAACTTAAGCTGTTTTGAACTAAATAGTGTGCTAAGTTGGTTACTAAAGTTGTTAGCGTGATTACAAAACTAATAGATATCAAATAAATAAATGTTCAAATAAAATATCTATCCATCCCTGTCGGCTGTCGGTATCGGCGGAATCGGGCGAAATCGACGTTTGGTAATCGATTCTTGATACCGATATTCCTAGTATCGGCAATGTCCGAGTATCGGTGGTAGCGATAATTGACACTTCCCTATCTAAAACTCATTTTGGAGTCCTAAATTAGTTTTAAATATGCATCGGGACTTAATCGATGAATCGGTCTTTTTCGATGCATCAAGGCCAAATCGATGCATCGTGATTTCGTTGCATGCTGAATCGAATCGCGATTCTATGCATCGAATCGAATCTAATCGAAATTTCGATGCATTTTTGATGCATCGCACACCCCTACTGACTTTTGAAGCTATCAGCAGAAACAACACAATTAAATAAATTGGTTAAGTTATAATATAAATTGTCAGTGTAAATATTGGTTTTCTGTTAGTTATGGGTTTATGGGTCTTAAAAAAAGAGGGACGCCTTAGTGCATTGCAGCGTTTGGGTTTGGTTAGGTTAGATAAGTTCAGTTCAGTTGATAACCACAAACAATGTAACATAAAAAAAATGTTCTCTAATAAACTCATGAAAAACTGTCTAAGTCTAACTAGAAATCTGTTTTGCTTACATTGGAAAGTCACCAAAATGTGAGTTGCTTATTTTCACGATGTTTGGAATAAATAATTTTGAATTAACCTGCTTCCACCCAGGTTTCCATGGGACAGTTTTTACCATTATACTCTAGCTATGGGAACTGGCATGCACAAAGGCCAAAACATTTTATATTTTGTTTTAGGAAAGCGTGAGCTGTAGCGTGGCTAAAGAAGATTATATATTAACCACTAATTTGCACAATACCTGGTCTGTTGCCATCCCCCCGACCGAGCCTATAGCCAACGTCGATATTCTGTGAATATTCTTCCAGCTTTTTTAACGCCTTTTCAGCATCCAACAGTTTTTGTTTCTCTGCTATCTGCAAATTTCAAACTAAACGTTAAGATGTCCCAGTAAATATAAGAAATTTGCAAAAAATCAAGTTCCATATAAGACTTAAGACTATGAATAATGAAAACCATCAGTAAACATAATACCCTAGTTGCAGCAAACCTGCATACTAAGCGAATTTCCATTTACCCGGCTTGATTTCTACTAAAATATTTCCTATAAATTTTCAGATTTATTTCCTATTTAAATAACATTAATTTTTGTGAGTAGTTAGGTTTGTTGCTACGGGGAAGATGGTGAGGTGTGTTTTTTCAATTGAAATATTGATAGCTTAGTGTGAAATAAACCAAATTTGATTAATATAAATTTATATTAATATAATATAGCTCGAGTTATCGTGCTAACAGACACATATATAAATATATATATACAGGGTGGCTGGTCATCAGTGTTACAAAATTTTTTTGGCGTAAGTACTAAGTATAAAATATAACCATAAACAAGCAAACTAGAACAGTTTATTTATTCTCCATAAGAATAACATGGGAATTTTAAATTTACAATTTTTTAAATTTTCTCCGTAGTCAATGAACATTCAAAAACACTTCAATATACTAAATTATTTGTTTTTTTAAGCTCTTCAAAATGGTCTAGAGAGAAATTTAGAAATTTAAAGTTTTTAGGGTCAAAAATGAGAAAAACCCATTTTTACCCCATAAAACCCCCCATAAACCCCTGATCCCATGGTCCGATTATGCTGGTTCGCGAACTCGTTCGAAAAAACGTAGGTTTACACGTTTGTACCAAATTTAATCAAAATCGGATCAATTTTGCTCGAGTTATCGTGCTAACAGACACATATATAAATATATATATACAGGGTGGCTGGTCATCAGTGTTACAAAATTTGTTTGGCGTAAGTACTAAGTAAATGCAGGGTAATCATGCATATAAAAGGTTCCAAGTCCAAAAATTAGCTTCCCAAAGAATTATTTTTGATGTTTTTCAAAAATAATAATGTTTTCAAACTTAATACAGCTATTTCTCAGTTACCTGTAAATGGATTTGAGTAGACAATGTCATTTTCGTGTTCTACATTAAATTTTGAATAAGAATAATATAAAATGACGGAGTATCAGTTGTAAAAACTCCATTGTAAATAGATTCAAAGATAAAAATTAAGATGTTTGAAAAAAATTTAAAAAACATTGGTCTATTGTATTTTTTCACACCCTGTATACAAGAAAGGGTCCGAATATGTTAAAAACTGCGCCATTTTATAAGCTTTCCAACCATATGCTACACTATTGAGGTTTAGAAATTCTGTTGTTTGTTTTAGTGGTTTGAATACCAGAAAACAGGGAACTTTTTTACTGATTTTACTGTTAAAGCTGAAACAAAAATACAACTTTTGCTTAATACATACCGGCTTTCTATGTTTTAAATGTTAAAGACACCCTGTTTTCTGGTATTTAAACCACTAAAACAAACAACAGAATTTCTAAACCTCAATAGTTTAGCATATGGTTGGAAAGCTTATAAAATGGCGCAGTTTTTAACATATTCAGACACTTTCTTGTATACAGGGTGTGAAAAAATACAATAGACCAATGTTTTTTACATTTTTTTCAACCATCTTAATTTTTATCTTTGAATCTATTTACAATAGAGTTTTTACAACTGATACTCCATCATTTTATGTTATTTTTATTCAAAATTTAATGTAGAACACGAAAATGACATTGTCTACTCAAATCCATTTACAGGTAACTGAGAAATAGCTGTATTAAGTTTGAAAACATAGTTATTTTTGAAAAACATAAAATAATTCTTTGGGAAGCTAATTTTTGGACTTGGAACCTTTTATATGCATAATTACACTGCATTTGCTTTGTACTTACGCCAAAAAATTTTTGTGACACTGATGACCAGCCACCCTGTATATGAATTTGAACGGATGGTGTTTTTGGCCTCTGGGGACCTCAAAACGAAAAAGTAAATCGGTCCTGGGTCTAGGTCTTACCATGAGACCTACGGTAATAGCTTATTCCCTATATGGGAAATTCGCTAAAATGGACAAAGGGGGCTAAAACAAAATAACTTAAGCGAACGCATGACCTACAGTTGACATTAGGGTTGCTTTCAGAGAGGTGAAAGCCAGTTGAGCGGAACAAAAACGTCATTTGATATTTGTATAAGTAACTAAATGTAAAAAAGTCAATAGATTTACTAATGCTGGTTTTATTGATTAAAATTATAATAATTCGGACGTATGTATAGTCCGTGGCTTGGCAATCAAATAACAGTATTTATATAGGATAGGCTACTGTTGTCAACATTTGAAATTACTGAATTGTTACCAAATTACTGTTTCACAAAACGCAGATTCCATTTTCAGCCGAGCCACTAAAATGAGGATTTGCCGAACAATTATTAATATTACAGAATAGTATTTAATGATATACAACTTTTCACATTTCATAAATTATATGTTAGTTTTGCTATGGTCAAAGGTCCTAATCCAAATTTTCTTTTCATTTGGTTTTTATGTAGTAATTTGCTAGAATCATTGACTTTATATAAAGTCAATGCTAGAATACAGTAAATGGTTTGTTAAGACCATATGCAAACATTTTTGAAATCGTTTCCCCGTTTAACCAACTATTCCAAAAGATAAAATTTATATGGTGCAACACAAATAAACAACTTACTTCAAAACACTTAATGTAGTCACGAATACTCATAAACCCCGACCTACCTTCCCCACATGCCTAAATTAGATCTGTGTTCAATCTGCGTTTTATTAATAAGTGTAATAACTTACTGCACCGTAGATGTAATTCAACATAATATAACCTGTGATGTATTATCGGATTAAATATCGATTTCGATGCGGTTCGATATATCGCTTATTAAATCCTGATTTCTAACATTGGCTGTTTCTAATCAGCTGGCAACACAAATATAGGTCCCCAAGAAAGTAGTCACTGGTCCGTATCCCTCCGCTCCTTGTTTATGCTCCGCGCATTGAGAAAGTAGTTCCGTATATTTTCTCGATTTTCAGTGAATTCCGTGCCTTAAAAAATGTTTTAACGGAATTTTCTTGTTTATTAAAATCGTAGGAATTGTAGTATATTATAAAAGTAAAGTAGCAAGAGGAATTTAAGTTTATGAATTGGCTACACTGACCACCGATGACGACAACAGCTGACGTCACAGCCCGACGTCGGAGACAAGCAGTCTAGCAAATGAGTAACAGGTTAGTGGACGTAATATACGATACGTGTAGTTGTAATAATGGCGCAGTCGCCGGATTAAATATTGGTTTTGTCGCAGTAAAACTAGTGAAAGTTTTGTAAAGTGCGTTCTTTAAAACCGCAAAAGTGCGAAATGTCGAGTATCGGTAGAGTCTCGGAATTTAATCCCCACGAAGAGGACATCAGTTCATATTTATTACGACTCAAGCATTACTTCAAGGCCAACGATGTCAAGTCGACGAATCATGTCTCCATCTTGATAACAGTGATTGGGCCTAAGATTTTGGCAGTTTTAATGGACTTAATATCCCCTAAGAAGATTGACGATGAAACATACGAAAGCCTAAGCAAAACATTGGAAGAACATTTTGCTCCTAAAAGGCTCGTTGTTGCGGAACGATATACGTTTTATAGTCGTTGTCAAAAACCGGCAGAGTCAATAGCGGAATTTATGGTCGCTATCAAACATTTAGCCAGTACTTGTAATTTCGGTACATTCTTAAATGATGCTTTGAGGGACAAACTAATATCAGGCATTAGTAATGATGGAATAAGGCAAAAGTTGCTTTCCGAAGAATTAGATTTGAGCAAAACTTTTGCTCAAGCGCTCATGCTAGAACAGGCTTATTCGGGAATCATCCTGTGCAAGATATTTCCAAATTTAGTGTGAAAAAGTGTGCACGTGGTCCTGTGAAAAGTGGGAATCCTGCTGGGTACAAGTTAAAATCTTTTGAAGAGAAAAATAATGATAGCAAGATAAAGTGTTATCGTTGCACAAGTTGGGATCATAAGGCTCATATGTGTCCTTATAGTAATTATAGGTGTAATTTGTGTAGAAGAGTAGGCCATCTTAGCAAGGCGTGCAAATCTAAAGGCGAAACTGCCGCAAAAAAGCCAGCTAAAAGGAAGGTATAAGGTGCATCAACTGGAAGATAAAGGGAAGCCTAGCCTAGACATAAATGAGGAAGTGGAAAATTTGTCTCTATATAATATTGGTTCATGCTCAAGTAACTCTGATTACAAGGTAAGGCTAGCTATAGAGAATGTGCCTGTAGTTATGGAAATTGACATTGGTTCGGCACTGTCAGTGTGTCCTCAGGAAATATTTGAGAAATATTTTTCTCACGTTCCATTGAGATCTGTAGATATTAAGTTGTTAACCTATTCTGGCAACGAAGTCATAGTAACTGGGCAAGCTCAAGTCAATGTTGACTACAAGGACCATTCTTATTGTTTGCCTATGATTGTGGTTCAAATAAATCGTACTAACCAACCAATGCTCTTAGGAAGAAACTGGATTAAGCACATTGATTTAGATTGGAAATCTATTTTCTCATGTAATTTTGCTAGCGCAACCGCTACTGGTAGTCATGAACCCAAGCCTAATGAGGCAGCTAAAGATGGGGTTTCACCTAACCTAACCGGAAAGGTTTCTATAGAACCTAATGAGGTTAAGGCATTAAAACAAAAATATGTCTCTGTATTTAGAGGTGGTCCGGGGGAGATCAAAGATGTTGAGGCTAGGATAGTCTTAAAAGAAAACTCTATCCCTAAGTTTTGTAAATATAGACCTGTTCCGTACGCTTTGCGTACTTCTGTTGAACAAGAGATTGATCGGATGATATCCGAAGGTATTGCCTACCCTGTTACAAGCTCACAGTGGGCTACCCCAATAGTAGTTATACAAAAGAAACAAGGCGTCCGCTTGTGCGGGGACTTTAAAGTTACTCTGAACCAGGTTATACAGTCAGAACATTATCCGTTGCCGCAGCCCGAAGATATATTTGCCTCGTTAGCAGGCTGTAAATGTTTTTCTGTGTTGGATTTGGAGGCGGCGTACCTCCAGCTTGCTGTTGCAGAGGAGTCTCAGGAACTTTTGACATTGGCGACACATAAAGGTCTCGTGCGGCTACGTCGCTTACCATATGGCTTGTCGTCAGCCCCGGCCCTCTTCCAGGCGGCGATGGACAAGATAATTGGAGGACTCCCAGGTACAGTGGCGTACCTAGATGATGTGTTGGTTGGTGGATCATCCCGAGAGGAGGCTCTAACAAGATTGGAACATGTTCTGCAGCGACTTCAAAGCTATGGAGTTAAGGTAAACCAAAGCAAATGTAAATTTTTACAGCCTTCTGTTCAATATCTGGGATACTGTTTGACTTCAGAGGGAATTAGTCCCCAGGAAGGTATTTTGGAAGCGATCCGTGACGCTCCAGAACCAACGTGTAAGGAAGAGCTCAAGGCCTATGTAGGCCTAATCAACTATTATGGTAAATTCATTTGTAACCTGTCAGATAAAATAAGCTGTTTATATGACCTACTTAGAAAGGACGAACCTTGGGTATGGTCTAAAAGGTGTTCAGAGGTTTTTCAGCAGAGTAAACAATGGGTGTTGTCTACTGATGTATTGGTTCACTATGACGTGCATAAACCTTTGATTTTGACATGTGATGCGAGCCCACGGGGTGTTGGAGCAGTACTTTCTCATCTCATTGACAGTGTGGAAAAACCAATAGCGTTTGCCTCAAAATCTTTGAGTGCAAGTGAAAAGAATTACTCTCAACTTCACAAAGAAGCGTTGGCGCTTGTGTTTGGAGTCAAAAAGTTCCATAAATACATTTATGGTCGTTCAAACGTTGTGTTGCAGACAGATCATGCGCCTTTGGTTGCCATTTTTGGAAGTAAGCGAGGAGTGCCGTGTGTAGCTGCGGCTCGTCTTCAACGCTGGGCGTTGATTTTGTCAGCCTATAACTTCGAGGTGAAGTACAGGCGTGGGGTGGATCTCCCTCATGCTGATGCCCTTTCAAGATTGCCGCTGCCCAATGATGAGACCATGGAATTGGAGGCCAATCACCTCTCTCACGTGGAAAATGTGGTGGAAGTATTTAGCTGCTACAAATTGGTGAGTGACGACACACCTATTACGGCTAAAGATATTGCTAGATTGACTGATAGGGATCCTGTGTTATCAAAAGTAAGGGACTTTATTTGGCACGGTTGGCGTTCGGCCGATGAACCTGAGTTAATTGCATAATTCAGAAGGAAGGATGAACTGTCGGTTGACAACAATTGTGTCGTTTGGGGAGCACGAGTAGTCGTGCCCGATAAGCTTCGGAGTGCTGTAATCCGATTACTACATGACCAGCATCCAGGAATATCGCGTATGAAAATGTTAGCCAGGAGCTACGTCTGGTGGCCTGGTCTGGAGAAAAATATAGAGGAAACAGTGTCTACCTGCACTGTTTGTCAGTGCACTAGAAATGCTGCTGTTAAGGTGCCATTGTATCAATGGCCTAGAACTACCAACAGATGGCAGAGAATTCATATTGACTATGCGGAAGATCCGCAAACTAGACAACAGCTGTTAGTTGTAGTTGACAGTTTTTCAAAATGGCTTGAAGTATTTCTTATGAAATCAACTACATCATTCAAAACCATTGAAAGATTACGAACCTTGTTTGCTGCTTATGGGTTGCCGGAAGAACTGGTAAGTGACAATGCACCTAATTTTACGAGTGCCGAGTTCAGGGAGTTTCTGAGTAGGAATGGTATAAAATTCACCTTGTCACCCCCCTATCACCCTGCGTCCAATGGCGCAGCCGAAAGATGTGTGCAAGAGGTAAAGAAAAATCTGCAGAGGCAAGTGATAGAAAGTCAATTGGAAGGTGTTACCTTACAGCATAAATTAGACAACTTCCTGTTTGTGTACCGGAACACACCCAGCACAGTAACTGGACTCCCACCAGCCGAGTTGTTTCTCCAATGGAAACCCAGAACAAAATTAACCCTACTTAAGCCTAATTTGTTGTCAGTGATTGATAAAAAGAAGGAACAGCAACGTTCAGCTGCAAACAGCATCCGATGTGGTGCTAGATATTTTGGCAAAGGAGATAAGGTGTGGGTGAAGACGGTCAGAGGGGAGCATGTGTCCTGGGTTCCGGGAAAAGTGATGGAGCAAAGAAGCCCTGCGACTTATGTTGTAAGTGTGTTAGGCAAGGTCCGGTTCTGTCATGCGGACCATCTGCGTTCCAGTCTTCTGGGAGACGAAGAGGAGACTTTGGTGGATAGGCGAATTCCACAGCCATCACCAGTCAAGGCGTCACCTCCGGTTAGGCCTATTTCACCAGTGAAAATACCTAGCCCTCAGCCAGCGGCGATAACGCCCTCACATCAGAGGCGAAGCCTGCCAGAAGCATCTAGCCCTCTACCAAGACTTGAAGAAAGACATGAAGTGCAGTCAAGCCCGCAACTTCTTAGACGGTCTCAACGGGCCGTTCGTAAGCCGAGGAGGCTTGATCTTTAAGTAAACAGTCGACTGTGTAACTGAAGAAGTAATTTTTATTTTGAGTTATTTGAAGAAAAGTTTTAAGTTAAATGCAATGAACTATGGACTTTGAAATTGGTTAAGGTTTTTTGGTATTAGGCCTAGGACTATTATTTAGGCCTATTAAAAGAAGAGCTTGATTTTAAGTTGGGGCGAGTGTAGTATATTATAAAAGTAAAGTAGCAAGAGGAATTTAAGTTTATGAATTGGCTACACTGACCACCGATGACGACAACAGCTGACGTCACAGCCCGACGTCGGAGACAAGCAGTCTAGCAAATGAGTAACAGGTTAGTGGACGTAATATACGATACGTGTAGTTGTAATAGAATGGTTTAAAAACGTTTAAAAGAAAAGTCTAGAAACTTCAGAAATACGTTATGATTCTCTTGTTTACATTTTTCTTGTAAACAAAAAACTGCCATATGGCTACTTTAGTCCCATAAGCCTAATGTTAAAATTTGGAAATTTTAAGTTCGTTTTAAATTGCATTAGCCTTATCTATAGTAAACACACTTGCTTTTGCGGATGATGTTGCATTAGTTGCAGAATCAAAAGAGGACCTAGGTAAGCTTACTGAGATTATTATAAGGGAAGCAAATAAGATTGGACTTAAAATAAGTGAAGAGAAGTCAAAATATCTGAAAGTCGGAAGAACCCAAACTGAAGGAGCTGAACCTTTTAGGGTCAATAACCATAATTTTGAAAGAGTAAACGAATTTAAATACCTCGGAGTCTCAGTTAACTGGAATAATGAAAGAGGAACAGAAATAGAAAAGAGACTGATTGCAGCAACCAAATGTTTCTGGGGCGTATCAAAAATATTTAGTTCAAAAATACTATCCAAAAACACAAAATTAAGAATCTATAAAACTTTAATTCAACCAGTGCTTTTATATGGTTCGGAAATCTGGACATTAACTAAAAATCATGAAAACAAACTTATAATTTTTGAGAACAAAATTTTGAGGAAGATTTTCGGACCTATAAATGAAGAAGGTATGTGGCGAATAAGAAAAAACCGAGAGCTCCGAGAACTGTACAAAGAACCGGACATTGTAGCCATAGTGAAGAGTAGACGACTGAGATGGGCAGGCCATGTAGAAAGAAGGGAAGAAGAAAGTATGCTTAAGAAGATTGCCAATGGACAACCACGAGGCACTCGCCCGCTAGGAAGACCGAAGTTGAGATGGAGAGACCAAGTCCAGAAGGACCTACGCAGAGTGGGGGCATCTCTTGACATGGCGGCAGATCGGCAGCAGTGGAGGCAACTTGTTGGCGAGGCCAAAAACCTTCTTAGGTTTGAGTGGCCAAGGAGGTAAGGTAAGGTAAGCCTTATCTAATTGAAATTTGTTTGTTTATTAACCATCTCACTATTAGTCTAAGTAATCTTGTTAAGTTTAGCTGAAATGTGTTCTGCCGTTATTGAGTGATGTTGCTTTATTTGATGCATTGAAGTTGATCCCAAAGAGCTACGCTCAATGATACAGTTAAACCATTTTTAGCTTTACCTCGTTAAACTAAAACCATAATAAAAAATGCTCATCAATCGGAAAAAGAGCTATGCTTTGGGAACTGTCATTCGTGGCACAAGTAGTCAGTCTTGCTCCACCATCAGAATTTAATGGAGCACACGACAAAACGTATCTCAGAAAACATAGGTGGGTTGAAGAGTCTCATATAACAGCAATTACAACAAACATATCAAATTTAAACTACTGTTGTAGACATCTTTGCATAGACATGTCCTTTAAATTCCATATCATTTGTTAAAAGAAAAATTAAAGTACAGTATAGATAATCAGATCAAATCTTTTATCTTTTTCTGTTAGGGGTTTACATGGTTTTACTGTATTGTTGGTTTTACTATACAATAGTTTGAGTGCAAACACATTATACCCATACTAAAATAATCATTTCAATAGTGTATTTACTATTGCTACTTAAAACTCTGTTAAAATCCTGAAACTTTTCAGATGTATTTTAATGAATAACAACAAAAACAAGATTTTAAAAAGGATCAACCTTTCTTTGTTCCTCTTGAAAAACTAAAGCGATGTTGTTGAAGTGCTTTTGTTGTCGCTTCCGAACCTCTTCCAGAGATTCCTTTGGCTTATAATCCACAGCTAAAACATGTACAACTGTTATTATTTGGAGAATTATCAGTGTTAATAAATATAATTCACCAATATCTGGTAGACAATACGTTTTGTTATTATGGTTCATAGGTGGACCCATGGACACCTAAGGACACATGGAGTTTTTTTAATCAAGAAAGAAAGGATTCACAACATGATAACACTTTGATTCACTGTTTTGGCTTTGGTATATTATATTTAAAAAATGATAACTTTTCTCTTACCATAACCTGCGGCTTCATCTAACAGATCATCGCTCAAACGGTGACCCTGATCAACGTGTTTATATCTGGCCAAATACTCTTCTCTTTTCTTTGCCTCTTTCTGTTGAAAAATAAAATAAACTTAAAAAAACACAAATTCTAAGTGTAAAACATACAAAATTCGTTACATAACTTAATCAATAATAAAAATAAAAAATAAACGCTAAACTGTTGATAAGTTTTAGATTGCTAGATATGAGAGGCCAGAGAAGTAAGAAAAAATACCCCCGCCGCAGCAAACCTGCAGACTAAGCGAATTTCCATTTGACTGATTGGATTTACACTGAAATGTCTACTTAAAAATATAACATTTATTCCCGATTTAAATAGAATTAGTTTAACAAGTACTTAGGTTTGCTGCATCAGGGAGGGTAAAACTGTTTTTTTTTGTAAAATGTTAATAGTTAGTAAGAAATAAAAACATTTTCCAAATTTGATCAAAATATGTTCATAAACAAGCAAACTACAACAGTTTACTCATTCTCCATAAGAATAACATGGAAATTTTAAATTTACAATTTTTTGGAATTTTCTCCGTAACCATTAGGCGCATAATAACGCTTCAATATACTAACTTATTTGATTTTTGAAGCTCTAAAAAATAGTTTGGAAATAAATTGCTAATTTTTTTTTTTTTTTTTGTCAAAAATTGGAAAAACCTATTTTTACCCCATAAAACCACCCGTAAACACCCGTTCCCATGGTCCGATCATGCTGGATCGCGAACTCGTTCGAATAAACGTAGGTTTACACGTTTGTACCAAATTTCATCAAAATCGGATAATTTTTGCTCGAGTTATCGTGCTGACAGACACACACATATATATATATATGAATTTGAACGGATGGTGTTTTTGGCCTCTAGGGACCTCAAAACGAAAAAAAAAATCGGTCCCGCGTCCAGGTCTTACCATGAGTACTACGGTAATAGCTTATTCCCTATATGGGAAATTCGCATAAACATTGTGTAATATAAAATTGAATAATAATTATCTATGTGACATAAGCACTCTTTATACAGGTACCCAGATATTTTGATTTATAAGCACTGAAGAGAATACAGTACTGTGGAGTCATCAGCACCTTCTGAACAGGCTATTTAAGTGTTTTAACATAAACTTTATGAAGCAAAAACTATTCGTAGGCGATCCTGTTTGGTCCTAAAACTTAACAATGTAAACTTATTGAAATATACCTTAATAACATATAATTGATTAGTAAATAGTTAAGTTTTTGTTTTCAGTTGTTACTTTATATTTGGCATTTTTTGAAACTTCATAAATTCTTTGGATATAGTTACAACAAAATTTTTATCGAAATCTGAGTTTTTTTTGCTTGTACAGTACACCCATTGCATACAAAACAAAAATCTAACAGACAGCATCAAGAGCGTGGGGCTGAAAAAATGGGTCTGTTCAGGGAATGAAGACCTAGAATAAAAGCTTACAAGCCATGTTTGTTGACACATAAACCCACAATGTTTAACAGAACAACGCCAATTTTACGATAATTTATGCCAAATTTAAACCGAACGAGATAATCTTCATCTCTACATACTCAAACTTTACTCAGAACAAAGGAGAGAATAGTAAAACAAGCTTCAGATATTCCGATGCGATACGGTATTATTAATGCCCTGAGTTATTACTGGTTAGACAACACTATTATTAATTAGCATAGCTCTAGAGACTTTTATAAAAGATTTTTAATACATACCTCTCTCTTCTTTTCTTCGTGTATGGCTCTTTCAACTTCATACCGCTCTTCGATTCTATTCAACGCTTCAGCGCGAGTAGGGACTCGTTCATTAGAATCTCTTACAGGGCGGTTGATGTTGAGCTGTTTCCCACCTGTAAAGCCCGTCTCCTTAAGTAGTGCATTTTTTGATTTAACATTTTCACGCTTCACATAGTCACCATGATTATGTTCAGAACTACCTACAGAAAGATCCTCGTTTAGTTCAGTTAGGTTATGCCTAATGCGAGGCGTTGCTCTATGGGATATTCCACCGTTGGAAGAACTTGGTCGATTTAAAACATTTGTGTCAAAACCATGTTGGTTCATTATAGTGATTCTTTCTTCCTTAGTGACTTTTCTCATTACCTTTGGAGATGCTTTGGATTTTAAAGCATCCATTTTTGACAGTGACTCAATATTGGAACTTGGTTTCCTCACAGGTCTGTTTTCAGTTTTTTCTGACATATTGTTATTCGTGTTAACATAATCATTTCCTTTTACATAATCATTCTCTCTTTCATAACTTTCCTTAGTGACTTTTCTCATTACCTTTAGAGATGCTTTGGATTTTAAAGCATTCATTCTTGACCGTAACTCAATATTGGAACTTGGGTACCCAACAGGTCTGTTATCAGTTTTTTCTGACATATTGTTATTCGTGTTAACATAATCATTTCCTTTTACATTATCATTCTCTCTTTTATAACTTGCTTTTGCATTATTTGGCGATTTTCTCTTTCTGAAGTCAACACTATTGGTTGAATTTTCAGAGTCCATTTCATGTGAGAAATCTGTTGTCTGAAGTGTAGAATTACGAGGTATTAGTGACCAATCGTTCATAGTGCGCATTGGCTTACATTCAGTGTTTGATTTTTTACCTTCATCACAGACTGCTTCAGATTCTAAAAAAGAGAGAGGCGGCAGCATATTTGTGAATGTTCCTAAAAGCTCTTTCCTTAAAATCTCAGTTGACCCAGGTCTTTGCCAAAACCTTAAAGCGTTGTCCATAGCTCTCAAATATGGCCCACCTCTTAAAGTACTAACTCTTGGGTAACGATTTTCTGTCATATTTGTTGAGTGTATGTTTGTCACTGAATTATCAGTTTCCATAATTTCATCACTCTGCCTATAGTTGTAGTTTGGCCTACCCCTTGGCCTTCGTTGGTTAGGTCCGCCTTCATTACCTAAAATATTTGAAAGCGTTACTTTTAACAACAAAAAAATAAATAAATTATAGAGTGTATGACAAGGAAATTTATAGGAAATCAAGACAGTGAATATGATTCTAGCATTGATAATAACCCATCGTTAACACTAATACCAAAACCCCGGACTGACAGACCCACGGGAATTTTCAAAATCGCATGTTCGCAACACTGTTTACTTGGGAGATTCTATTCCCCCAATACCTTCCCCCTTTGCCTTCCCTACGAATTGATATAGCCTATTGTTTGTTCATTTTGCATGGGTGTCGTGACCTTGACAGGTTGTCTGTTCATAACATGTCCGTCTCAGAAGCCCAGCGTTAGTGTGTATTTTAAAGCGGGGTCTCACAGACCGGGGGTTTCGGTTAACGTCAGCCTAGGTAGGGTTTCGGTATTAGTGTTACGGTAAGGTAATAGTTTGATACGCATAGTATGTGATGGCACTTCGCAGTGTGGTAGCCATTACGTTTACAAACACACATAGGTAGGTGACAAAACGACAAAACGGACTTTTCTTCCGAGCACATTTATTTTGAAAAAGAAATATGTGATATTGTCGGCCCACAGTTTTAAGAATAACCAACCTCTTTATAGGAACCGATGGAACATCATTAGATCATTTTTTCGCTCTCCCTTCCCCCGTCATACTACTCCTATTAGCCTAGCTAGTTTAAACCAGAGAGTCACCAAAGTAAAAAAAACCTTAGCCTATAAGGAAAAAAATGCCCATGTTAAAAAATCAGCCTGAATTTTTTTTGGCAAGTTCCCGCGGCAACTGCTTGGTAGAAAAGGTGCTGCCCAGAATCTCACACGCAGCTGTGTGAGTGAGACAGCAAATAAGCGAAGAGAGAGAGAGGGGGGGAGAGATAGAGAGAGGCTAGTGCTAACTAGCGGCGGCCGCACAAAGCTCATTTCGGCGGCCAAATCCAGTGCGACTATTCCCCATAAGCATTCTGCTTTTTATAAGGTTTGTATTCTCTGGAGACACGTTGCATGAAGCCAACTTCTGTGCGCCACCACTCGCGTTCCTAGAGTGAGGTCCCGTGCAACCCCCGAGTGGGTTGTTGTTTTTGTACCTTTAGAAGCACTTGTACCGTCTCGGGCTCTGCAATGGTGACCAAAGTTTACATAGTCTACAATGAATGATGTAGCCTAGTGACACTATAAAATAATATCTGCTATTTGATGTATCTTTGTAAAAAAAAATCTAAAATGGCGGACACTCATCACCAACTGTAGGGACTAGTGCTCCCCATTATTTCAGTGAATTTGAAGTTGTGTGGTAAAACCAAAATTACCTAGGCCTACATCACTTCACACAAACCTGTACTCATCAACTGTAAGTACACGAAAATCATGAGAAACTAAGATTTGCATAGGCATAGGCCTACCTAAAGAGTAAATGCAATCTGAAAACAAATCTGCTGCACAAGCGATTGCAACTCACAAACATACCTTGCTCTCAGCATTAAAATATTGAATCAAGCACCAAAATAAATTTGTATAGCCTAATCTTCTGACTATAAACTGAAAAATTCCATGATATTTATTTATGAATAAGATATACTATTTAGTATTTACAGAACCAATTAAAACTGTGACAGCTGGTGAGAAGCAATGCTGACAAAAGCACAATCAGCACATTCCATCTTAGCTTACCAATGCCAACATGAGCTGAGCTGTGCTTTCAAGTCACTAATGCAAGACTGCACATATAATCAATTGACATAATATTCCTGATCAAAAACACTCAAACAATTTGACCAAACCAAGAGGAAATTTATTTCACAACCATCAACAACTAAACCCACCTAAAAAAAAATAGTGACAATCAGACACCATCATAAATCATGTCAAAATATCCATGCGGAATATGCAACATAGGGGTTAAAACAAAGGCATTCTGTGTACCGGAGAGTGCAATCAATGGTATCACTCCAAATGCCTCAACTCGCTTACGAACCTAGAGATACAAAGCTGGAAATGTAATTTATGTACTGAAGATACCAAAGTCCAAAACCCCAGTGTAGACGAACTAGAGCAAAGAATTAGTATCCTAAGTGACATAGAATCAGCTGAACTTGAAACATCACTATCTTTAGCATCCGAGGTTGGCAGCATGCTGCTAACGGAGAACAAAGAAAAACTCAAAAAAAATTAGTAGCTAAGAAAAACAAGTACCGTACGTTATTCTAGAAAATTAAATAAAGGAATGGAAAAACTCCAAAGACAATTCCTTAAATATAGGCTACTAACAGCAACTAGAGGAGCGCATTATTGAAAAGTAAAACATCCTATTGAAATATATATGGGCCTACATAATTTGCCTCCAGGATTGATCTATTGACTTAAAATGAGGTTACTAACCTGTCGTCAATCAGTCCTCTATTGTCTTCGATGACTATCGTTTCGGGGTTATAACCCCATTTTCAAATCTTCTCTAAGCCGTCGTCAAAATTACTTTACACATACACATAAACACACACGAAAACATTTATAATTACAAATCATGTACACGCGCGTGAGGCCGGCCAAGGACAAAACCAGACTGCTGTTTTCGTGTGTGTTTTGTGTATGTGTAAAGTAATTTTGACGACGGCTTACGCAAGAGAATATGTTTGACATTTGACAACTGAAGAGAAGATTTGAAAATGGGGTTATAACCCCGAAACTATAGACATCGAAGACAGTAGAGGACTGATTGACGACAGGTTAGTAACCTCAATTTATGTCTATTGAAATATAACTCTCATTAAAAAATAATACAAATAATACAATAATAATAAAAAATATAGGTAATGACAAACGGAGAACCGAAAAAATTGAAAACCGTACAGTGTTAGTTTATGATGTAAAAAGTTCTATAATATAAACTTATGTGTATACTAATAATGAAATATACATGTTTGTAAAGCTAATGAAGTAAGGAATCAAAAAAAGTCACACAAACTTCACTAACACTAACACTACGAACTAATAACGTATTTAGTAATAAATCGCGGATAACACGAGAACGAACACTATTACCGGCAACAACACAAACAAACAATGGCGAATACAAGACAGCTGACAGACTGTTGCAGTAATGACTCACTTCCGTCGTCTACATGCGAGCATACAGAAATAACCCTGAGTGCAGGGCTGCCACTCTCTGAATCTATATTTCTTCCTCTTCAAAATGACATACTATATGACTAGTAATAATAAATTACACTGTATGTAATTCGTATTTTCCACATCGTCACATGACGACCATTGGCCATTTGTTAAAAATTTCGAAAACAGCTGTTTTCATAAAATCGTACCGGTTGTGCAATCAATATTTCGTTCTAAATATTACTACCACAATGAAGATAAAATCAATGGCTATTCAGTGGTACCACCCACAACATCCCACGACGAAAATTACCAGAGCAGGGTAATGCCAAACAAGACGTGTTTTGCCAGTTCCCAAGTGTCCGCTGCAAAAGTCGTGCCGCGCCAAAAATTCATTTGATTTCTAATCGTCGTGACATTGTTATATAGGCCTACCTGCTACCAACAGGGTTTGTTTATGTAATAAAATGAAAGTTCAGAATGTGATCTTTCGAATGGTATATTCTCATCTGAGTTGATTATACGTGTTTTTTTTACCGCTAAAAAAATTTCGGCCCACATCGTCACCAGACGACTTTGGCCATTCTAAGCATCAACGTCAGATCGTCACCAGACGACGATTGGCCACTGCTAGGGTTAAAGCTCTTTTAAAAGGTCTAGAGAGAAATTGGAAAATTGTGTGTTTACCGGTAAAGGGTAAAAAATGTGAAAACCCAATATTTAGGCTACCCTATAAAACCCCGTTCCCATGGTCCGATCATGCTGGTTCGCCAACTCATTCAAGTTTATCCCACCTTACACCTTTAAACCAAATTTCATCAAAATCAGACAAAAATTAGGCTACCGGTACTCAAGTTATCGCGTTTAGGCTACGGACGTATAACTTAGGCAGATATAAATATAATACAAATAACTTATAAGAATTTAAACAAATGGTGTTTTTTGGCCTCTGTGGACATCAAAATGAAAAAGTAAATGGGTCCCGGACCTAGGTCTTAGGCCTACTGTGCCACCTACGGTAATAGACTACTATAGGCTACCTAGGCTAGGGCCTAGGTAAGTAAATTTGCTAAAAGTGAATAATTTTGTAAAAAACAATAATTTTAATTCTTATACTACCTACTTCCCTATAGAGAAAAATTCGCTAAAACAGAAAGCACTGATAAAAGGAGATACAAATGAGATAGGCCTAGCCTATGGCCTAGAAAAAATGTTCAAGGAGCACCTTACAAGGAGAGTACTGAAACTATCCTTAGATATGAAACAAACAATAGCCTACCTAGGCCTATAATATTTTTCAAACAATAATTTAGTGATAAAATATGATAAAACCTAATATTCTAATTTAAAAAAAATCTAAGCACTAGCTCTAATAAGTAAGATAAGTCCCTTTGCACAAGTGCGACTTATCTAGGTGACTAGGTTAGGCTGTGATTAGGTAAGCCCGACTGGGTAGCGGACCACAGGATACACCGGTTCACACGAGGACATATCCACAGACTTTATGAAAAAATGGATATCAAAACTACTCATATCCATCACTGGTGCACAATGTGAACAAAGGGAAGAATGCGAGTTGCACCACCCGATCGCTCGTGTGAACGCTCCCATAAGTTAAGGAAACGTGTACTGCTATGACGCTAGAGCAGGTGACTGGGTAGCTACCATGATTGACTGGGAAGCGGAGCTGACAATGGTTTGGGACACGAAGCTCGTGTGAACAGCTCATAGGATCCTGTGGTCCGCTAAGCTTACCCAGTCGGGCTTAGGGCCTACCTAGTCTTACCTAGTCACAGCCTAGTCAGCTAAGTTAAATAGGCCTAAGTCTCTCGTGTGAACCGGGCCTTACGCAGTAACTTAATGGTTGATGGTCGCTAGAATTTACTGACTTAAAACATGTTTAACCATAGGCCTAGTTCTGTTATCAAAAAAATCCTCAAAGAAAACATTGAATCCTGGAAGCTTAACCCTCCCAGTGTTACTTGACGAAAATTCGGCAAGCACCACACTTTGTATAGTGTTACTTGCCGATTTTTCGACAAGCAGACATCGTTTACGGCGAAGGCTCTATAACTGACTGAATCGGATTGAACTGGATCGAGTTAGGTATCGTTCTTTCCGTTACATTCTAAGCTGTCTCCAGATGTCTGTCTCTAAGCGCTATTCATTTTAGTTCTGAAAATATTGTAGCAGACAGCTGACGTGCGTGTATTTGTAAACAGCTAGGTTCCCCCGGACCGATGACTGATGTGTTTTATTACGTTTATCATTGTTTTAGTGTTAAAAATCAAAAGTAGTGATATACGTGGTGCATTATAAGAAGATTTAAGTGGTTTTGAAGTGCTGGTTGATGATCCTGAAGAAGTAGGTAGTGATATTGATGTAAATTATCAGCCAGATTCCTAGCTATGGTTAGGCTATGCATTCTTAGCTAAACGCTATGTACTGAAATCAGTTTTTTGCCCATAACTTATTTATTTGCAAATATACTTCCTTATATTATTATATATTTGTAATCCTCATAAAATTTAGAACAAAGTGGCTATTTTCAAATATTTATAGGCCTATAATTTATACAATTTCATTAGGCGCGAACTTATTTTTTTTTTGAAAATTTTCGAAATTATATTTTTTTTACCTAAAAGATTTTTTTTTTTTTTTAAATGTTCCTTATGTTTTATATATAATATTGAAGCCCATGATTTTCCAAACAAAATGGTATATAGAACATTAGAATTAACATTGTTTTAAGCTTCTCAGATACGTTTTAATAAAACCTTGCAAATGCGCCAAAAATAGGTGGACATTAAGGCCTAAACTATGGACACTTGGAGGGTTAATAATTGTAATTTCCCTCTTTTAGGGGTATGGTAATTATTCCTCCGGCAAAGCACATAGGCTACCAACTTAATAATCCTCCTCCAAACAAGTCTGGGTGAGCCCCTCTGGCGACCTATCATTAATAGGCTGGAGTAAGTTAAGCTAGCCTAGGCCTAAATTAGGCTAGGCCTAAGTTAGGCTAGGCCTAAGTTAGGCTAGGCCTAAGTTAGGCTAGGACCAAGTTAGGCTAGGACCAAGTTAGGCTAGGCCTAAGTTAGGCTAGGCCTAAGTTAGGCTACGCCTAAGCCCAAGACAGTTTACAAAATCCACCAATAACTTAGGCCTAGCCTCGCAGCAAATGCAAAGATGTCATAAGAGAGGAATTGCAGTTTTAGTTGCTTAATAAACCTTCGTCCTATGAAATGAAACTTACCGGCACCTAGCCCTCTAGGAGGCCTATTTGAGGTCGTTCCAGCCCTACTCGAATCTTTGAATGTGAAAGACGACATGATGATACGAATTTGTATCTCTACTATCCAGTTCGTTTTCTTTAAGCTCTGCCCTGTTTCCTGTTACAATTGAATCGTCACTTTTACTTACTTACACGCTAGTCCTACACACAGTACCTATCTACCTACGTCTACTACTGTCTACAGTCTACACTGCACTGCACACTGCACTGAGACTGAGAGAGATTGAGAACGAGAACTGACCAACCAACCACCGAACCGAACCACCAACCAAACCACTGTTAAAGTTACCATACCACTAGTTACCACTACCAGTTACCGTGAAAAAGAACCGTACAGACAGAGACAGAATAAAGTAAAGTCAGTAGTCACTCACTCACTACACAACACAACACTACACCATACACTTCACTTCACGACGGTCTTCTTAGTCAGTCAGTCTCGCTTCACCACTCAACCCAACTCAGCCACCCGGTTCATGAACACTAGACTAAGTAACTTAAGTCAGTCTAGTCTCGCTCCGCTCCACTCACATGGTGGAACCATAGATAAAACATACTCCTCAAGGAGTATGTTTTATATGGTTTTATCTATGGTGGAACACTCACGCATTGCCACGGCCACCCGTCGAAAGTGGTTGTGGTATTCGGGAGCTTGGATATAGAGAAGCGGAATGGGAAGAGATGAGCATCGGTAATCGATGGACGATGTTTTCGAATCATCAATCAATGTTTTATTTCGGTGTTCGATCAATGTTTTATTTCGGTGTTATAGGTTTTTTGCATCGAAATTTTTTCGGTTACTATCGAAGCATCTGAAGTACATGGACAAGACCATAGATTTGATAAACATGGGAACGGGGTTTAATGTGGTAAAAAATTGTTTTTCTCATTTTTGACCCTCAAAACACAAAACATTTCCCAATTTATCTCTAGACATTTTTAAAGATGAGCTTAAAAAACAAATAATTTAGTATATTAAATTGTTCTTGTGCAGTTATTGGTAACCGAACAAATTCAAAAAATTTTAAATTTAAAACTCCACTTATGGAGAATATTGTAAAATGTTGTAATTTGCTTGTTTAATTATGGATATATATTGATCAAACTTGGCAAATTTATTTATTTTATACTAGCTATTATTATTTTACTAAAAATACACTTTATTAGTTTCCTTTCCTTTAGCAGCAGACCTAGTTACTCAAACCTAATGTTATGTAATAGATTTAATTGAAAATCAATTTAGATAAATGGAAATTTGCATATTCGACAGGTTTGCTGCGGCGGTGGTATTTTATGATTAGGTAGTTTTTTTTTATTTATTTGGTTAAACAAGGTTTTAAATACTGAAATAACAAGAAACAAATGATTATTGTAAACAAAACATGAACTTTACTCTACAGTGTAAACAGTATATTTTTTGCCTCAGCTGTTTTTATAAGGATGAGAAATCTACTAAAAGAGTATGTTTCATCTATGGTACTGTTTTTTTACAGAGGGCCAGGCTTACAAGTGACCATGGGGTTGCATAGCAGCTGGAATTTTTATTGTGCATCCCCATTCACAGGTCCTCATTCTCCGTCAATTCCTAGGTCCTTTTAGTGAACCATGAGAACCTTTTTGATGGTAACCTGTTCTTCCCTTTGATCTCCCATCAATAGGCCAAGGGATATCATACAACGACCTTAGGGCTGGGCACATAAATATCACATGGAAGGCTGTCTCCTCCTCTCCACATTTCCTACATAAGAGGCTTTTTAATTCCCACAAACACAACATTACCAGGTGAGGTGACATACAGAACCTCCCGTAGTGCAGACTATCCTTAGTAGTATTTTAAGAGCCTGCACGAGCAGTGAATGCCACAGCAGGAGGCAGGCTCCTTCTTGATGACCCTTTATGTTTCAAATGATTAATAGAGATAATTACGGGTGGAGTTTGAAATTATGTTAATCATCCGGTTCCTAGAAAGATTTGTGTATAAACAATTTAAAAAACCCAAAAAACCATTTGTGTGTAACATTTAGATCTGGAACTTTTTCACCAGGGTTGCAACTGCCGACCAGGGAAAACATATATTTTTCTACAATAATTTATCTACCTATTTTGCCTGAAGGTCTTGTAGGTTGAACTAAGTACTCTATGCACATTTCACCGCTCAGTGCAGCATATTCATGGAGTTCTTCATTCATCTTATGCACTTCGGTTGACGTGCTTGGACCATGAGTCCACCCTCTTACAATCAATCTTACAATAAATTCCTTTTCCTTAACATTCAATTTAGTTAATGTGATCCATGAAATTTAGGAATTACATTCAAAAAATTTGTCCTCACCTAAACGTAATACAGGAAATACATCTTAAATTGAAGTAAGAATTAAAAAATAAATTAAATTTATGTTTTTTGGTCGAGTAATACAGTACATAAATATATGCCGAGCCGATGCTTCTTTGGTCTGAAATCTGTGCGTGCATACCTTCAATTTGAGACCTCAATCATGAAAATTGGTCATAGAAGAGCCAAACTAACTCGGAATAAATTGTATAATAACTTTGAAATATTTAATATATTTTGAGTATATTTGGCTTACATTTTCCTCATAAAGTAGGGGTATACTTTACTTAACAACTCAAGGAAACATTGCAAATTATAGTTTGAAAGTATTGAACCGAGTTCGATGTTTGTGTGTGTTCAATGAATAAGCTATAACCATGTATTTTTATGTGCCTGAAGCAAAAACGAAACACTACACTTGTTTCTTTGAAATTCTTAAAGCTTGTACATTGAGCAAGCCATAGAGTTGATTCTTTATGATTCAAAATTGTTGACTGCACACTTCAAGCTCTGATTAACAGGTAAAAACATCTTTGGGAGACATAGTTGCTTTGAAATGCTGTAAAATATTTTTGATTATGATATTGATTACAGGCATTATCTTTTTGAACAAGCTATGTATAGTTCTATAGTTTGGTTACAAAAGGTTGGACTTGAAAAAATAGATTAATTGCTGGAATTTAATTACAGTTTGTAAAATATCATGAATTTTGCCGTTTGTACCGAAATGTTATCTACGAGGTTTTACAGGATGAAAATGATTTATTTCCATTTTTAACACTAAAAATATAAATCTTTGCAACTTATTTTCAACCCATTTTGTAGAGCTTAAATAATTTAGTATATTGAAGCGTTGTTGTAGCTGCTAAATAGTTGAAAAAAGTAAAAATTTGAAATTCCAATGTTAATCTTTTGGAGAATAGGTAAACTGTTGTAGTTTGCTTGTTTAAATACCTACCTATATTGTTTACGTATCATTTAGTATTTTGTACCAAATAAATTGCAATTGAAATTATACTAAAAACACACTTCTTATAGCCTGCATTTCCTAACCATAAAAACTCATCAAACCACGTTTTTTTTTTATCTGACGTTTAAGAAAATATTTTTGAGCAAATCAAATCAGGCAAATGGAAATTTGATTAATCTTCAAGTTTGGTGTGTGGGGGGGGGGTTTAATTATGACCAAATTTAACATCATCTGTTTGTGAGCTACAACATACCATTGGACAAGCAAACATAATCAACACAAACCACGAGATTAAGATTTTATGATAGTGTAAGATTATTTATAGTATTGCTAGTCAATGAGTAAATCCATTTAAAATAACTAACTTTAATCTAGGCTACATATAAATTTAATTTTTAATTTAAAGTGCATGTTTAATGGACAAATATCTTTCTTAGATTATGTATTCTAAAGGGAAAATATTAAGTGTAAACAATTTGTGTGCTCTGCTCCTTATAAACGCAAATGTCAGTGCTCTTTTGGACATATTTTGTATATTAGATGTTGTTCCAATTACTATAAATTGCCTTTTATTACTTTCTCCCCCTATACATATAGTACCTATATGGAGTCAGTATTGTTTACGTCAAATTTTTCCAGTTTCAGTTTTGAGTATATATATCCGTTTTGGGTCCCTCTGAGCCCAAAAAGTGGTTTTCTTAGTGATGTCTGTGTGTGTGTGGGTGTGTCTGTACGTGTGGATTTGTACAGAGCTACAGACCAGAAAGACCAGCTACAGGTAGGAATTTATTCATGGTAACTCTTACCTTACCTAGCTGGCCACTCAAACCTAAGCAGGTTTTTGGCCTCCAACAGCTCTGCGCCATCCTTCTCGGTCCTTCATCATCTCCTCTGTAACGGACATCCTTCCCATATCCCTCCGGAATTGGTCCCACCATCGCAGCCTTGGGCGCCCTAAAGGTCTTCTTCCTACAGGTACAGCATCCGTCACTGTACTCATGACTGACTCTTCCGGTCTCCTGTAGATGACATGTCCTGCCCATCGAAGTCTTTGGTTTTTAATTAAGGCAGTAATATCCGGATATTTGTAGACCTCAGGTAATTCTTTATTTGTTCTAATCCTCCAAATTCCTTCTTCTTCAATTGGGCCATATTCGTCTAAGAATTTTGTTTTTAAAAATTATTAGCTTCTTTTCATCTTGTTTGGTTGGTACCCATGTTTCAGATCCGTAGGTAACTATAAGCAGTATAATATAGTCTTATAGACTTTTAATTTGGTTTTTCTGGATAAAATTTTACTTTTCAATAGGTTTTGCAAGGACCAGTAACATCTGTCACCACTGAGCAGTCGTGATCTAATTTCAGTTTCTTCTGTATAATATTGGTCAATAATTATTCCTCGATATTTAAATTCTGTACATCTTTGGAAGGTGTAGGATTCTACTGTCAGAGGAAGATGTGTTTGTGGTGGATTTTTCGTCCTACTATTAGATACTTGGTTTTATTTCCGTTTATTGCTAAGCCTATTTCTTTTGCTTTCCTCATGAGAGTTCCTGCTAAAACTTTTAAATCACTTTCATTTTCTGCCATGAGCACAATGTCATCAGCATAAGTTAGAATATTTATCTTTTCCCCTATCTCCAGCCCAGGGTTGCATTTGTGAACTTGTATCAAACTTTTCTAAAGCTAGGTTGAACAGTATTCCCCTTGACTATCACCTCTACTGGTAACTTTTGGTGTTTTAAAAATTTTTTTAGAAATTTTGATTTTTAACTGTGATTTCCCCGTAAATATACCCATAAATAACAGAAAATCAAATTTTCTCAAAAATAGCCTGAATGATTTGTATACAAA